AGAGGGAGGAACAGGATGCTGGATAAAAAGAAAAAAAAGAGCAGGCTGTGTGCACAGCTGTAAAAAATGTAATTGGTCTGAATGCAGCAGTGAATTGTAACGCATGCGTTGCTACTCACTACTGCATAACACCCGTATTGCCTTATCGGCAGGGTAGGGTGTAAATAAAATAAAATAAAATAAAAATAAATAAGTCTTTTGAGTCTATCACGCAGTTCCACCGAGAGGCCATCGTACACCACACAGCTGTAGTCAAAGTGGGGAAAGATGAGAGATGAAACTAGGAGTCTACGGGTATTTTGGGGTAGAAGATGGCGGAAGTGATGGAATAGTTTGAGGGTGGAAATTGCACGGCGGGATATATGAGAGATATGGTGATTCCAGGAAAGAGTTTGATCTATGAGAAAGCCTAAATTTTTAACAAAGGGATAGAAGGTGATGGGGTGGTTGTTTAGATAGAGTGAGGTGTGGGATCTAAGAAGGGGCTTGGAACCAATGAGAATGGCCTGAGTTTTGGCAGCATTTAGCCGTAATCCATTTAAGTTGGCCCAGGCACTAATTCGATCTAAATCTTCTTGAATTTTGGCAAATGCCACCAATAACTCAGCGGGAGAAAAGGATAAATAGATTTGAGAATCGTCGGCATATAGGTGGTGGGAACAATGGATAATTGAATCATTTAGGTCATTAATATAAGAACTGAAAAGAAGAGGAGACATGCTTGAACCCTGAGCAACTCCTGAGGATAAAGGAAGGTAGGCAGATAGAGGTTGATTAGGTATGGAAACTGCTTGGGTTCGTTGTGAGAGGAAAGACTGGAACCAAGAGATGGAACTATTGGAGAAGGATAATGATTTTAGTTTGTTGAAAAGGATGGAATGGATAATGGAATCGAAAGCTTTGGAGAAATTAAGCAGTATAAGTATGGTTAGTTTTTTGTCATCTATTGCAGTCTGGATATCACTAGTAATTTTAATCAGAGCAGATTGTGTAGAGTAGCCAGGACGGAAGCCAGATTGGAGAGGATCGAGTTGGTTGGATTGTTCAAGGTAGTTGGAAACTTGGGATTGCACTAACTTTTCTAGGGGTTTAGAAAGATTGGAAAGGATTGATATTGGGCGGAAATCTTCGGGAGAGGATGGATTAGGCTTTTTGTTTAAAGGAAGGACAATGGCTTTTTTCCAAGATGTCGGGAATATTGAATTCTGCAGGGAGAAATTGTAGATGAAAAGGAGTGCTGGGAGGATTTCAGGGAGACATAATTTTATTAGTTTGATAGGAATGCCATCTGGGCCTACGGAATTGGAACGGGATTTCATTATAACGGTAATAAGGTCTGTGGGAGAAATGTCGGAAAAATAAAAATTATTGTCGTTAAAAGGTACCTCTGGAGAAAAGCCAGAAGGGGATGGTAAAGAAGAGGTGGAAACCGATATAAAGTGGGAGTTTAGGTCATCAGGTGATATTGGGAAAACTGAGGAAGGGGATCTAGAAGGTTCACAGAGGGAAAGCTTACGAAGTAGAAGCCATTTTGATTTGATATCAGGAGCTGAGGAAAGGGCTTCGTGAAAGTAGTTCGCTTTCGCTTGTCGGATCCTTATCTGTGTCGTGTTACGAAGCACTCTGAATATTTTATAATCATCTGCAAGCCTAGTCCGTCTGAAGCGTCTGCGTGCAGCGTCGCGTCTCTTCTGCAGATCCTTAATTTCCTGACACATCCAAGGAGCAGGACGATGACGGAAAGTGGAGGTTTTGAGAGGAGCGTGGGTATTGAGTATATTGAGAAGATTGGTGGTGAGAATATCAACCATGGTGTCGACAGAGGAGCAATGATATATTCCATTCAAATCCAATGTTACTAGATCAGGTAATATTTTTTCTCGAGTAAGGGTATCCAGTTGGCGGAAAGTGATAGTTCGAGGATGGATTGGAGGAGTGCGGATATTATACGTTATTTGTATCAGATCATGAGATGAAAGAAAGGATACTGGCAATTGAGAGGCGGAGAGGAGGTTTTGTGCTGAGTCGATGATGTAGTAGTCTAGCCAAGTGTCAGATCTGCTGGTGTGGTGGGTGGAGGAAAAAGGAACGATGAATAGGTGAAGTGAGAAAAACAGATTTTCTAAATAGGATTTGTCATTGGATTTTGAGAGGAAATTGGTATTGAGGTCACCGGAGATAATTATTCTGGGATAGAGGGGAACGAAGTTGAATAGAGTTGATTCGAAGGACGGGTCAAATGGCACGAGAGGAGGGCGATATACCACGGCGTAAAGGATAGGAGAAATATTACTGAGAATTTCTACTAAGAGGTATTCTACATGAGGATGATCGGAAGATGGGGAGCAATCGAGGATTCGGGTCTTTAGGCTATTGTGGACAAACATAGCTACTCCACCGCCAGTCCGGTTTACCCGGTCATGACGGAGCAGGATGTAATTAGGCAAGGAGACTGAAGATGATGGAATATAAGGTTTGAGCCAGGTTTCGGATATTGCTATGATATGATAAAAGTTTTGGGTAAAGTATTGCAGGAATTCGTCATAATGGGCAGAAAGTGATTGAGAGTTAACTTGACATGTGATTAGGGAACTAGACATACAGTGGATTTGGAGAGAAACAGTCAGTGTTTGGTAGCGAGAAGACAAAACGAGTAGAAAGTACAGAAAAGCGATTATCGTACATGAAGCTAAGTGAAGAAAAAGTAATGTTAACATTAAAAATAAATAAAGAGAATGTACTTGAAAATAAATAGATTGATGAGTGACGGTGTAGAGATAGCACTAAGAGAAGTAAGACTATTTTAATGCGGCTAAGGGGTTGACGGCTTCTAGGTAGTCAGTCAAATACATCTAGATCCGAGGCCTGTTCTATCAGGATGACTCTATGTCCGTCCTCTTTTCGACACCGCACCTTTCCGGAAGCAAACCACGTATATTTGATTTTTCCCGCCGCTCTCTTCTGCCGGGCTAGCCAATAGAGGTGTCTGTTTGTGCGAGTCATCTCTTCACCCAGATAAATTCGGTGGCAGTCATTTTCCTGCCAACCGATATCCCGCGTGGATAAATCCCTCTTCACTTTCCTTTTCGTAATTAAATCATCTCTAATTGATTGCCTGACAAAACGTGCGATAACAGGCGGTGGTCGCGAGTCATCTTTTCGGCTTCTGCGGCGATGTACGTTGTCCAGGTCCTCCACACTAAGCCTGATCCCCAAGCTTGCTCCTATACTGGTCACCAAAGCAGCGGGCGTTTCGCCCGGTCGCTCCGGTATACCGCGGATCTCCAGTGATCTACTCAATAGTCCTTGCTCTGCGTTATTCAAGCGAACCTCTAATTCGCCCACTCGGGATTTGAGTGCTTTGTTTTCTAATAATATCTCCTCAAACTTTTTAGCTTGACCTTCCAGATGTTTTTCAATCTTCGTCAGTCTTTCGTTTAGTTCAAAACTGAGCTCTCCGTATTTATCTAGTGCTGTTTTCATGTTTTTTATATCTTCGTTCACGGTAGCGTCTAAACGATTTACTGCCGCAAGTATTTCTGAAGGGGACGGCTCGGTATTTTGTTTTTTCACCTGTTCGCAGTTAGAGCAAACCCATGTTTTTTTAATTATTTTTAATGCTTCGGTGTCTTTATCAGTAAGGTTGACGCACCTACCATGAAAAATTATTTTACACTTAACGCAGTGTATATTGTTCTTATCTTCGCGTGCGATAGAGTTGTTGCAAATATTACACTGCACCATTTTTTAAATTTATTAATGAGAATTACTTCGCAATTAAAATATAAATAAATACCAGGACTGTTGACGGTAGTAAACAACGTCTAATGCTGGTCTAATGCTGCTAGGATTAGTAGACGCCTGCCAGCTCGTTGCTCCCAGAACTCTATCAATCTCACAGCGCTTTCTTTACTCCGATTATTGTGAAGATCCGACACTTAATAGCGTGATTAATAATAGTGTTTTTTTTAAAAAAAGAGAAGAAAAAAAAACTGAACTTAACCGAACTGAAAATTAAATTAAAGTAAACTGAATCTATTAAATGAACGAATTACACCGATGTACACACCAGGGCGTCTCAGGCCAGACTGATATGTATATATATATATATATATATATATATATATATATATATATACACACAAATAGAGAGGAGTGTGTCGAAGATCAGTAGAAAATAAAATACATTTCAAAGAAATACAATCTCATGAATAGGAAAATTATAATTTAAGAAAAACAAGTTTTACCTTCTCACAATAGTTTGTGAGTGGTGATGGAAATTCACGTTTTATTTCCAATTTATTATTTATTCCCAAACCGAATAAAAAATAAGAGAAAAAAAATAATGTATAAAAAAAATTGAAGCCTTATTGCATAATATATATTTAGCCAGCGGCTGATTGGATCGTGAAGAGGAATTGGAATAAGAGGGTTTTAATTGTGGATAAGGATGATGCATGGCGGATTTTTAGTGGGATGGAATTCCAGAATGCTGTGGAACGGACAACAAAGGAATGTTTAAATGAGGCATATCAGTGGAAAGGGGTGTAAAGATCAGAATGCGAGATCCTGTGGAGTGGGAGTGGATAGATGATTTGAATTGTAGGAGATTGTATGCGTAAGACGGACTATGATTATTGATTATGTGATGAAGGAATTTGCCTAGGAATTATTGTTTTCGGATGGAGGGGAAGAGTCATCCTAATACAGCATATTCGTGCGAAATATATATATATTTTCTTGCGTTTTGTATCCTTCCAGAAATGTTAACTTATAATCCAGTAGACCGTTCTTAAATTCACCATATATAGCTGCCCATCGATGATATCTATTGATAGATTCCTTCCATAGAATTAGCGCTGAGTTTAAGAATTTTTCCCTATCAAGGCTTGAAAATGAAGCATTTCTCCTCCTTTTTCTAACAAGACATGTACCCTATAATTATATTATATATTTATATATTATGTATTAAGTAATATTTATTTATTTAACTTTTGTAGAAGTCTAAAGGATATTATTCGAGATACACGGGCGGATGGTTGACCGACTGCTTCATAATATTACGTTCCGGTGGTCTACTCCTATCGCCCGAAGATAGTGAATTTAAAGATGGAAGGGTAATGAGTTTTTATTTATTATTTTATTTATATACAGGGTGTCCCGTAAGTAGAGGGAAATATTTAAAAGGTTCATAGTAGACATCGAGATTTACAAAAAATTCATATCATCGATTGCCCAATTTCCAGCAGAAAAGTAGTAAATTTAAGATTAGCATTTTTTATGTGAGTCACTTTTTTTATTGTATGAGAAGGGATAACTAAAAAAAAATTATATTTAAGTAATGAAACATTGCTCCATAGTAAACTAGAATTACTAAAAATTACTTCAAACGAAAGTATAGTTTGTCATTGTTAAAACCATTTAAAGAGAACTATTCAGCGGATAAATACCGCTATGTTCCGTTAAAAAAAATTTTTTTTTGTTTATTAAATGAAATTTACAACTGTATACAAGTAAAACTAGTAAATATGCACAAATTAGAAATAGTGACTTGAACAGGCTTAAAGAAATACTAGACAGTAGTAGCATTCCCTAAATAATTCTAGGTAAGAAGATCGCGAGGCCATCTCCTTTTCAGACACCTAGGAGGATTATCAGGAATTGAGGAAGAAGCAAGGGTGGAAACAAGGGGATTTCGATGGGACTGCAGTTTATCATGAAATGATAGGTATCTGGCTGGGGCTAAATCAGCGACATTAAGGTCTTTATGAATGGTTTTATTTGTGACCCAAAGCTCAACTCCGTATGTCCATACAGGTCTTATTATAGTTATGTCGATAAGTATTTTGTAATTCATTGAAAGTTTAGAGCGTTTGTCTAGTAAGTGTTGGATCAGTCGGAAAGGTCGAGCAGTTTCTTGTCATTTCAGTCTAGTATGAGGATTCCAAGTAAGACGTTTATCCAAGTGGAGTCCTCCAAAGTAGGGGATTTGCTCAACAGGAATAAGTGGAGTATTGTTGAAGGATACTGTAGGAGAAGAAGTCATAGGTTTACGACGGAGGGCAAAGGTGGTTTGATGGGATTTATTTTTATCCTCCAATTCTTATATCGTTCTTCAAGGCTTGTGATATTTGATTGAAGAGTTTGGGATGCAATTAAAGGGTCGTTAAAAAAAAGTTCATAAATTATTTGTGATTTTTTTATTACCTTCCAACTTTAGTAGTTACCCCTCTTGCAGAGAAACTTCCTTCTTTAATAAATTTAGGTCCATATTGATTAAGTTGAAGTTTATTTTGAAAATTTTGATATTTACCTCAGTTGTATAAAGAAATGATTTCATTTTCTACCCAGTCATCTAAAAGTATGTTTTTTCAGCATAAATGACTACGGTTAACTGTTGCAAAGCTTATATTTTTTGTTGTTCCATAGATTTGGAGAGCATTGTAATACACATAATTGCCTAAGAAAACTTTTTATTTATAACAATAACAAATCAGAATTAGCTAAGTTTGTCTGATGAATAGTCGTCTTTAAATGGTTTTAACAATGATAAACTCCACTTTTGTTTGAAGTAACTTTTGGCTAGTTTACTATGGTGCCATGTTTAATTAAAATATTTTCTTTATTTATCTCTTCTTATTCAACAAAAAACGTGACTCTGGACTTTCTTACTTTTCTACTACAAACTGGGCAATTGTTTTATGAACTTTTTTGTTGGTATTGATGTCCACTATCAATCTTTTAATTTTTTTTTTTCCTTACGGATCACTCTATATATTTTTTTCGTTATTAAAAAAAAAATAACAGACAAAAATGGTCTTATTGTGTTATAAGTACGAATGCTAATTTAAATTATCACCTGTATGCGAGGTAAGTTTTAGACTTTAAAGTCCTACTATGGTCCATTGGACGAAGCAACCACTTAATCTGATATAACTACCTGATATAAATGGATGATTCCTTGATTATGGGGAATATTCAAGATCAAATTTTAACAATTTTTACGGTATTTTTTTTTTAATTTTATTGAAATTTACAACTGTATTACAATGTACCTGTTAAAAATACAACAGGTAAATGTGACATTGGTAACATGACATGTAAAATATGAAGAAAAACTACCCATTGGTAGAACTCAAATTAAAATTCTATATTAGAAGATCCCGAGGCCATCTTCTTTTCAGACGGAGGGTTATCAGGGATAGAGGAGGAAGCAATGTTTGAAACAAGAGGGTTCGGATGGTTCTGCAGTTTGTTATGGAAGGATGGGTATCTGGATTGGGCCAAATCGGAAACATATGGAACATTAAGGTCTTTATGGATGATTTTGTTTGTGACAAAGTAAGGAACGTTGAGGATTTTACGAAGGATTTTGGATTGTAAGGATTGGATACGAGAGGAATTCGATGGCTTAGTGGAGCGCCATAGCTCAATTCCGTAGGTCCAAATAGGTCTTATTATTGTCATATATATGAGTCGTTTGTAATTGAGTGAAAGCTTAGAGCGTTTGTCTAGTAAGTGTTGGAGCAGTCGGAAACGTCGATCAGTTTCTTGTCGTTTCAGTCTTGTATGAGGATTCGATGTGAGTCGTTTGTTCAGGTGGAGTACTAGGTAACGGATTTGTTCAACTGGGATAAGTGGGGAATTGTTAAAGAATACTGTAGGACAGGAGGTCATAGGTTTGCGACGCAGGGTAAAGGTAATTTGATGAGATTTATTGGAGTTTATTATAATCCTCCAGTTTTGACACCATTCTTCAAGATTTTTGATGTGTGATTGGAGAGTTTGGGATGCAATTGATGGATCGTTGTTAACTGATAGGATACACATGTCATCTTTACGGTATTTAAATACAATTTTCTAAACACCTAAACCTTCTATTGCCACTCAAATTTATCTGAGCAAATGGCCAAGTAATTAAGTTAACTTTTCGCTCAATAATTAAAGTAGGTAAAGCTAGTAATTTGGTCGTGGGAATGAAACGAATTTTCAACTTGGTAATGGCATTTTATTCGGCCAAAACTCCTAGTACTATAATTTTTGTATTTTCCAACTGACTTGCTTCAAACGTGAATTATAATAAATGGAATAATTGGACAGGTAGTGAGATAATATACGCGGTGGTAATGTCAACAATAAAGGTACGTGCTCAACGTATAAGAAACAGAAGCATAGAGGGAAGCTCTGGGTCGGTCTATCCGCTGGTGGCTTTCCTTTAACTCTATGGCTACTACTACACTCTGACCCTTTCCGATTGACTTCATTATTGCCAATTTCTGATGCATTGCATTAATTTGGTTACAATACGATTCGGTATTGACGTTAGTATTTAAGATGTACTTTATCAAACCAAATGAGAAGCCCACACCGTAACCATCACCTTTTTTTAATGAGTTTGAGGGTTTTGGAAAATGTTCTGCTGCTTTTTCTTTGTCGAGACACTGTCCAGAACGTCTGCTGTTATCGTAAAGTATCCACTTTTCATCAAAACTAACAATTCCGGACTGAAAAGGGTCGTTTTTATTTCGGCAAAGAAGTGTGGCACTAACTTCATAACACTGTTTTTTTTTTGTTTTTTTGGCTGTCGTTTGATAGAGTGTGGAACCCAAATTTCAAGCTTTTTTACCTTTCCAATCGTCTTGAGGTGCCCAGAGAGGGTTGATTCGCTTAGGGTTATGTTTCCCTGCAAGTTTTCGAACAGTTGTTCTGAGATTTACTTCCAGCAAAGGCCGCAGAACATCGTCATCAAGAGAGAAATTCCTTCCACGATCTTCTTTGTTTTCGAGGATGAAGTTTCCCTCCCGAAATTTTTTGAACCACCGTTGAACTGTACACTCATAAATGCTTTTCTCACCCCAGGCTTGATTGATTTTTCCGTCTGTCACTCCATTCCGGCCAAGTTTAAACTCGTCAAATAAAATTATACGCGTTGACATCTTAGTAAAGACTGAATCATTTCTAAGCAGCGAAATGCTACAGAGGCGAACAAATATTATCGTTCGGAAGAGGATTAATAAGTGTTGACATTCATAAAGAGGTATTTTAAAGAAGACTCAAAATCCTGCATTATTTTCCGGGCAACCAATTAAATAATTCTGAAACTAATTACCTAAATGAAATGGTGTCTAAATGATTCTTGAAACCCTATGAACTGTAATTACAGGAAGAATAATACTTTTAGGGATAGATATTGTTATATTTTAACGAATATAAACATCAGAAAATGTATTACTTGCTTAATGGAACACTGAATGATTTTAGGATTAATGAACTAAATCCATCCCAACACGATCATCACTACCTATGCAGATGACACTTGTATCCTATCTGTTAATTACGACAGTTTAATTGCATCCCAAACCCTTCAATCACATGTCACAAACCTTGAAGAACGGTGTCATAACTGGAGAATAAAAATAAATTCCAATAAATCCCATCAAATTACCTTTACCCTTCGTCGTAATCCTACAATATCCTTCAATGATATTCTACTTGTCCCTGTTGAACAAATCCGCTATCTAGAACTCCTCTTGGATAAACGTCTCACTTGGAATCAGCATACAAGACTGAAACTGCTCGACGTTTCCGACTGCTCCAACACTTACTAGACAAACGCTATGAATTTTCAATTAATCACAAAACACTCATCCACTTAACCATAATAAAACCTATATGGACATATGGAGTTGAGCTTTGGGGCTCGACCAAACCATCGAATTCCTATCGTATCCAATCCTTACAATACTAAATCATTCATATTTTTTTTTTTAAACCTTAATGTTCCATATGCCGCTGATTTAGTCCGAGCCAGATACCTACCTATCCTTTCTTGATAAACTCCACTTCCATCCGAATCCACTTGTTTCCAGCTTTGCTTCTTCCTCGATTCCTGATAACCCTCCTAGGCGTCTTGAAAGGCCAGGTGATCTTCTAACCTAGAATTAAATAGGGAGTGCTACCACTGGGCAGTATGTCTTCAAGTCTGTTTATGTCATTATTTCTAATGTGTGCATTTTTATTGGTTGTATTTTTGGTTTATTATTTTCACTTTCACTTACGTATATATGTAATATATAGTAAGAGTAAGTATTGCGATCGTGAAAATTTTCGAATCTCAGTTTTCACCAGAAATACATGTTTTGAGGTCCCCTGAGTCCAAATAACCAAGTGTCGCAAAATGGTCTGTATGTGTGTGTCTGTGTTAACAGTCTAGCTCATAAACGAAAAGTAGTACAAAACTGATATTAAGTATTTAAGGTTTGTATATGAGCCGGATATGACAGTAACTTTTTCGTTAAAATTGTCTAACCAGAAGTGCCACTTTGTATGAACGCTGAAACACATTTTTACAATTTTCTCAAAAACGGCTCTAACGATTTTGATTAAACTCGGTGTATCATTATATAATTAATTGGTCTTTAATATCATTTAGGTCTTATCCCCATTGATGTCACTTTACAGGGCTTAAATACCCATTGTTCATATATGTCTTCCTCTAAAGTACCTTTAATATGGTTTATTTTAAAAAGTTAATCATTTCGCATTATTCAGAGTTACGCAAAATGCTGCATATAACTTTTGAAAGAATTTGATAAGTTAATAAAGGAGAAAAAAATATACAGAAAAACCTGCGTTGGTATAGACTGTAGCGCCTAAACGAATGTACCGATTTCAATGAAACTTCGCTAAAGTCATTTTATCGACACCCTTTAAATTTATCTATATAACATACTTCAACGAAAAGAAGTTGTTTTCCTGTATTATTATGGAATTTCCTAAAATATCAAAAAAAAATCTTTAAGGTCGGACAATTAGGAGGAAAGATATGGTCTCTAGTTTGTTTCCCTGAAAAGGCGAAAATTTGGATAAATTTAAAATATACTTTTGTAATTGTTGATACTAAAAAAACCTTCTTTCTACAGATATTTAATAAAGTATCTTTCCTAAGAACATTTTTCATAAGATATAAGTACCTAAGTTTATACTTTTATTCTCAGTTCTATATTTCAACATTGCAATCACCATCTCCGGAATCAACTTACTCATATTCTGCATAGATAACTTTTTCAACTAAAAATATCACTAAAATGACATCGCTTAAAAACATTGAAATTAGAGTTAGTCATTCTGATGTTTATTAAAGCATAGAAAGTTGTGTGGTTTAAGGCATATAGAGTGACGTAGATTTTCATTGCCTGTCGTCGATATATTAAATAGACATTTTGTAATTATAATGGTCTTAATGACTCGTTACTCGTAAATTTTAAGCTTTAGCTCCGTTTAAAATGCACTTCAAAAAAATTTATAATAGCCCAGCATTGCCTGAAATTAATTTCTATTCATAGTAGTGAAAGTTGTGTGTTGCGCGCACCAGATTTTTTTTTATACAGTTGTAAATTTCATTAAATAAATAACAAAAAAAAAATAATAAACGAAATTTGGCACGTAATTTTTTAAAACGATATTTCAGGTTAAGTTGTTATGCAAAGCAGTTACCATGGCGCATGTTGTGGAGAAGGCCGGTGGGAAAGCCTCAAACGGTCAAACGGCCATTTTAAAGTCCCTTAAAACTTCGAAGTCACAACATACCAACCTGATCCTTGGCTCTATCGAAGAAGTGGATAACTACATCAAGCATGTCGAGCCTCATTTGAGCCAGGGCTACCAACTTGAGACAGATGAAGATGACACTTCAACGGACCTTGACGAATAAAAGTTTTAAATTTTAATTTTTGGTTTGTTTTATTTTATGATATTATTACATAACTTTAGAATTAACGAAATAAACCACTAAATCCAATCAAGATGTTATGAAGATGATATACCTTTACCCTGCGTCGCAAACCTATGACCTCATGTCCTACAGTATTCTTTAACAATTCCCCACTTATCCCAGTTGAACAAACCCGTTACTTAGGACTCCACTTGGATAAACGTCTTACTCGGAATCCTCATACTAGACTGAAATATATATGACAATAATAAGACCTATTTGGACTTACGGAATAGAGATTTGGGGCTCCACTAAACCATCGAATTCCTCTCGTATCCAATCCTTACAATCCAAAATCCTTCGTAAAACCCTCAACGCTCCTTACTTTGTCACAAACAAAACCATCCATAATGACCTTAATGTTCCATATGTTTCCAATGTAGCCAAATCCAGATACCTATCCTTCCATAACAAACTGCAGAACCATCCGAACCCTCTAGTTTTAAACCTTGCTTCCTCCTCGATCCCTGATAACCCTCCGAGGCGTCTGAAAAGAAGAACGCCTCGGGATCTTCTAATATAGAACTTTAATTTGAATTCTACCAATGGGTAGTTTCTCTTCATGTTTTACATGTCATGTTACCAATGTCACATTTACTTGTTATGTTTTTAATGTAATACAGTTGTAAAAAAAAAAAAATAATAAAAAATAATGAACGCACCAGTTATGGACTGAGGGCCCAATGGTTGACAGGTTGGACTTTAAATCTAAATAATAAGCTTCTATATTGATTTAAAGGTTCCAGTTTTATTACTTTCACTTGTCCTATATTGGGTTGGAAAACAAGTCCTTTCGGTTTTTCAGGGTGAAATAAAACTCAATATTCCGTCGTGCAGACCAGACCCATTTTTATCGAATTATTAGCCTCCACCTGAAACTAAAATTAAAACTAAAATAGCTTCATCTCATCGTAACCTACAACTATTTTATTTACGAAAACTCATGGAATTGGTGCGTTTTCAATCGGTGGGGGAGCAAACTTTGTCTATTTAATTAAGTACTAAGAATTCATAAATACCCATTTGCTTTCTAATAGGATCGTAGGATAATTTCATCACGCAATCGATAAATAAAGTGGCCTTCAAAAATATTGAGCCGTTTGGCGTGACAGACACCCCCAAATTGTCAAAATAACGAGGTTATGTAGGACAAACGGCCTAATATTTTTGTAGGCCACCTTTTTTATCGATGTTGTGTGTTAAATTATGTTACGATCCAAGTAGCAAGGAAATGCGTATTTACGAGTTTTAAGTACCTAGTAGGATAGACAGTTTGACGATCTCTAAATTGAAAACGTCCAGTTACGAGAATTTTCGTAAATAAAATATTTGTAGGTCACGATGAGCTGAAACTATTTACGAAGTTTCAGGCGAATGTTAATAATTCGATAAAAAGAGGTCTGTACACGGACTACAATGTATTATGTAGACATACAATTTATTTTAATTTAGAATATTAAAAAAAAAAAAAAAAAAAAAAAAACCTGTACCACTACAAATAATGGGTTCAATGCTATTTAGGGAAAGCACTGTTTCTTGGTATAGGGTTGTACAAGGACACCTCAAATCACCATTTGACCTAGATCACGCTCAACCGCCAGGTCTTTCCCCTTACTCAATTATTTTAATTAAGGGTACCAACTTTATAGAGGTTGAGTGTGTCTCCAAGAGGGTCTATTTACCCAGGACCAATGAAACAGAATAAGTAATTTGTCTGTCATGAGCCAGGTTTCGAACTTAGGACCTTTAGCATTGTAGGTTCAGTAACCTACCACTGAGCTTCCCCGCTCTAACTACATAATGCCATGTTCATAGAATGTCTGGAGTGCCTTGTTAAAAAACTGATCCAAGTGGCTTTTGATGTCCTCTTCCTTTTGGAATTTTTTTCCATTCATGGAGTTCTGCAGAGACCGGAATAAGCGGTAATCACTTGAAGCTAAGTCTGGTAATAGGGAGGGTGTAGGGAAAGTAAATAGGCAAAATGCAAATAATTTAAATAAATAGGCAAATAGGCAAAAATCTAAGATTCAATAATTTATTGCGAGTAACCAATGAGGTGTGGGGATTCTAGCATTGTCTTGGTAGAACACATCCTTCGTAACTCTTCAGGATGTTCTCCAAATTCGATGTTACTATATCCGTTGGAAAGCTGAATTATTACTCTTCAGAGTCGTAAGGTTTTTTTTAAATTTATTTATTAAGGAATAAATAAACAAAAACTCCTTATAGGTCTCTATTTTTTATCTCCATTTGTAGTTTGTTTACGAAGGTCCTGTTGTCATATTGAAGTTATAATATTTTTTGTGATTTTCGAGAAAAAAAAAAATTTGATGGCTAATGGTTTTCTATGCTTGGGGTAATGGTTTTCTATGCTTGTGTGCGGCACATTTAGGGTCATTGACAACCGCACTGATTGGGTCGGATTTTGATCAACAATGGCCTTAACATTGCTCGTTTCAATTCCATGTGGGCGACCAGACCGTTGAGCATCATTGATGTCAAAATTTCCTGAATGAAATTTGGCAAACCAATTTTGACAGATGCGTTCGGTTAAGGGATCATCCCCATAAACACTGCAAAATTTTCTATGAGGTTCTGCTACACACTTATCTTTTTTTAAATATGCCGATAATGCATGATATTTTCTTCCATATTTGCAGTGCAATAGCAAACACAATACTAAGTTAGTTTCAACAAGAGTTAACAGATATAGTTGTTGACTTATTAAAACGGGATAAACAATCCACCTTAGGGATTAATTCATCAGATAAGAAGTGTATCATAGTGACATAAAAATAAACAGAAAAACCGAAAGGACTTATTTTCAATGTCTTCAAGGAAATCAAATTTAAGTGTAAACTTATTTAAGTTTAAAAAAAATATTTAAAATCCACCTAAACAAGACGATGGCATTGTTAGAAGAACTATTTCATAGTACTTACGTGAAAGAAGAAGCGAAATATAATAATATTTCATGGATGTATAAAACATATGTTTATAACCTTAAATACATTTACTATAGTTTAATGATTCTAAATCTGATTATATTTAAATAATTAGGTATCAACGCCCGTTTATTTCTATTAGAAAATTAAATCAGTGAATAATTTGATGATTTTTTCTTTGTGAAATCCAAACATTATCCACTTAAAATTAGTGTGACTACTTTTGACCTATCTATGCACGGGAATGAAAATCTCCTAATTTCATTTTAGTAAACTTTATCATAGAAAATAACAGTTTAATAACTGATAGTTATACAGTCCATCATCATTTATAGGTTGAATATACAGATATACTTTTAAATATCTCGATAATTAAGTTGATATAATTAATAGAGATATTGTTACTTTAATGTTGTTAATGATTTGTTAGCTGCAAGCTATAAGATGCAGCTCCATTAAAAATACACTTAAAAATTTTATAATAGAGCAACATTGCCAGAAAATAATTTCTAATCAAAGTAGATCGGCAAGTGAAAGTTGTGTGTTGCGCGCACCAGATTTTTCTATATTGAAGAACATTGCCCTCGATTGAAAACTGTATGAATAAAGTTCAAAAGAAATTTGTTGTTCCTATAGTGCTCTTGAGATCAGTGTGTTTCATACCTTCCTTCTAACAGTTTTGCTTAGATTAAGTTGAACATTTATGTTATGTTATCTTTATTGTAATCTTTATACTTAAATAAATATTTTAGATTTTTTCTATTAATGGTATCGATTCCCTGTCAATTACTAGAACAATTCAATTTTGGGGTGTCCATCACTAGTGCAAAAAATTGTTTTTTTAAAATAGAGATTATATCTGCATAACTGAATATTTTTCATAATTGTGGGTAAATGGTTGACTGTCGTGAATAATGAAGAGAAGAATAGTTTGGGTGATCAGTTAAATAAGAAGGCAAAAATAAATGATAATATTTATTTTGACATTTGCCGACGTTTCGACCTGAAGTTCAGGGCTAAGTAAAGAACCAGATAACAAGATATGAAAAACATAGATAGTGTAAGTAAAAAAAAATTAAAGTAAAATGAAGTTGTTAGAATAAAGTTGTTAATGACAATAGTAAAAACTAAGAGATAAATAATAATAACCGTTACAAAGTTTGGAATGAGACAATACGCCACAACACATCTCTTCTCTCCCCCTTTCCTTGCTACCATGTTCTCATTTCTCCATTAACCTTTTTGGAGACAGGTTTGTTTTTCTTTTTTTTTTTCTCTTATATATTTTTTTATATTTTAGCCTTGTCAGTTTCTTTCCTCCTTCCTTTCATTCCTCTTCTTTTAAGTTTTGTGTTTTTTTTAGATTTAACTCTTTATTATATTATACGTTGTCTGTACATTTTGATAGTCTTTACAATACTTCAATTTTCTATCTAACTATTCCATTTGCAATATCTCAATTTTACTATTTATTTTCATTTCTTATATAACTTCATATGGCCGCTTACATTAAGGGATGAGCAGCGTCTTAAGGTTTTTGAAAATAAAGTATTGCGTAGAATATTCGGACCGAAGAAGGATGAGTTAACCGGAGAGTTCAGACGGTTACACAACGCCGAATTGCGTGAGCTGTATCCGGGTAATATAATTGATGTAATTTCATCGCGGCGAATCAAATGGGCTTGTAAAGTTGTTGGGCTTAGTAACGAGAGAATTCCTAAAAGGTTAATATTTGCTGTGCCGAATGATAAGCGTCCGAAGGGTAGACCGAAGCGAAGGTGGGAAGATTGCATTAAAGCCGATCTGAAGGAACTGGGTTTGGACGGCGAACGGTGGAGGGAGGTGTGTAACAAGCGATTGGTGGTGTCGGCATCGAACCTTCGGGTTCGCTAAGCCTTATTATTATTATTTATATAACTTCATATTCCTTTTTTCTGGTTTACATTTTATTCTGAGATTCCCATTTTAATACTTATATCACCTTTTTTTATTATGATTACTTCATCATTGGAAACTTTGTAACAGTTATTATTATTTATTTTTTAGTTCTTACTATTGTCATTATTCTAACAACTTTATTTTACTTTAATTTTTTTACCTACACTAATTATTTTTCTCATACCTTGTTATCTGGTTCTTTTCTTAGCCCTGATGAAGGCCTGAACTTCAGGTCGAAACGTCGGCAAATGTCAAAATAAATCTTATCATTTATTTTTGCCTTCTTATTTGACTGATCACCCCAACTATTCTTCTCTTCATCATTCTGAATATTTTTCAGTTTTAAAGTGTTAAATAGAAAAAGGAGACCCTAGAGATTCTAAATGTCTAACAGAGTAGTTTATAACTATAATAATTACGGGGGCATGAGCCAACAAAGACAACAATTTCTTTAGCTATGTACAGCAGTGGTGCGCATATCCTAGTTGTTTTTATTAAGGAATACGAAAACCAAAACTTGGAATTATATTTTACCGTGAGGATTTTATTGGAAGATTTCACCTACATGAGAAGGAATGTTATGGGGTAACTTGGTTCCAAAGGTAACCAACCTATTCCAAGAAGAGTGAGAATATCGAGGACTATTATGTGGGTCCGCCACACAATAAATTTTGAAATGTCCAGTTCGGATTCAGACGATATCGCTAAAGCGATGACTTAATACTTGGCCATCATGGTATTTCAGTCTACGAATAGTCATTCAAGGCATCAGGCCCGATCCAAACGGATATCGTAACCTCTTTGTAACCTCTCTTCGGTTTAGGAAGCTTCTGATGACCTAGAAGAACATCCTCCCTGGTGTTGCTAATTACCTTTACATTACCTCACCTCCTCGTCGATTAATCCACCGTCTTTGAGCTGAGAACCCAAGTATTTAAAACTTACTCTACTTGTTCCAAATTTCGAAACTCTCATAATCCTGTGAGATTTTCATTTAATGCGCTGGTATTTCGTTTTTTTTTTTTTTTGCTCCATTTCTGTCTGCTTCTTGCGGCATTTCTTTCCAGTTTCCTGCACGCACCTGTATTACATCTGTGTTGATTCTATCTATTCAACTGCTTTTTGGACTTTCACGTGGTCATTTGCCTTCTCTTGAGGCATTTATTGTTACGTAAAGCCTTCCAGAGGGATTGCTACGGCCTACATGCCATCATATCAAGGGATATTGATCGATCAGTTTCTGTTCTTTATTGGTCATTCTTCTCCATGTATTAGTACTCTGATCCCAGATCGCTCCGGTTGTTCTCTTGATAATATTGTCCATTATTTATTATGTTTTTATTTGATCTATGCACTATGTCCTCAGAGTTGCTGCGCTCCTACACGTCGTATAAATCACATTGCATTTCGTTACACAACTTTTTATGTATTTATATTATGTTCTTTACCTGTATTGAGCACACGGCACTGACAATTATTATCCTCTCCATCTTCAATCTCAGATGCTACTGTTTTAAAAATATTTGTTTACGCCTTTTGATTTTTATTAGACCATCAAATATTCTTCTATTATTTTATAAGTACTTAATAATGATTTCTGATGAGTTTTCTGCAGTGACCTTGAAAGCAGGTGGAAAGAAAATAGACATTCTTTGTACGAATTAAATTACATGGAGTCATTCAATTTTCCGTTTTTTTCAGTAAGTACCGGTACACAGTGAACTGACCCAGGCAATCTGGAGAGAATAAATTCAAAATATCGTTAGTGAACCTAAATTATATTTTTAAGTTGGGATAGTTAGGAAAAGAAGAATTATTCGAAACGAAAAACATAATATGTGTAAATATGGTAGTCACCTTAAGTTAGCAATGTCTCAGAAGTCTGTCCTGCCAAAAAAAAAAGAAAAAAAGTTTAGATATTTAAAGTGGCCTAAAAAGAAATTTTGAATGATTTATTATTCTTTTTATAATGATCGAATATTTTGTAAACGTTCTGTGATTTTTCTGACAAATGCCTGCTTTGAGTTTTGTCCCATCAGATTGCTAAAACAACCTACTGTACACTGTATGATTTAGAAATATTTATTAATAGATGCCTCAGTAAAAAAAATGGCATTCATAGTCCTGAAACGATTTCCAACTACGAATCCTGGGTGTATAGGGCTTAAACTCAAGTCTATAAATATTTTGCTCAAGAAAACAAAATGAAAGTGGATGGCCACAGTTTAAGGAAAGAACATTCGATAGAGATACATTCTCTCTATTTTTTCTTTCATTATTTCTTAATGATATTTAGAATTGTATTAAAGAAATACATTTTGAAAATATGGATATAATGACGTGAAAACACTTGTAAGTAACTATCTAATGGTTGCACACTAATGATATGTCTACATTAGGAGATCACGGGGCCATCTTCTTTTCAGACGCCTCGGAGGGTTATCAAGAAATGAAGAGGAAGAAAGGCTAGAAACGAGAGAGTTAGGATGATTCTGAAGTTTATTATGGAAGGATAGGTATCTCGATCGGAACAGATCTGAAACATAAGAAACATTAACGTTATGGATGGACGTTTTTCTTACGGTTTTATTTGTAACAAAGTAGGGAGCATTGAGGATTTTAGATCGTAAGAATTGGATGCGAGAGGAATTCGATGGTTTAGTGGAGCCCCATAGCTCAACTCCGTAAGTTCAAACAGGTCTTATTATAGTCATATATATGAATCTTTTGTAATTAATTGGAAGTTTAGAGCGTTTGTCTGTGCTGAAGTAACCGGAAGCGTCGAGCATGTTCTTGTCCTTTCAGTCTGGTATGAGTACATTCTGTTGATTGTAATTCACAAGATGCTTGCTAAAGAGTAAGAACCAGGGTTTGATATTGAGAAAGGAATGGACTGCGATGGAACTTAGTATCTGATAAACATCAAAGGAGAAAATTCGTGACGCCCCTTAAACATAAAAGGAACTAGAAGTTTTACTAATGCTATAATAACATGTGATTTTAATTATTAATATTACTCACAGTTGTATGTTATTTGTATCTATTTATTGTATTTAAAGCTTAAGGTTTTTTGTTGTATGTAAGCAGGAGTTGTTTGTATGAAACTTTATTGTATGTATTTAAAAAAGTAAATAACATAATTACACAAACGGAATATGAATCCCTGTGGTGATGCTACTATGTCCGCCAAATACCTACATCGTTTCGATAACGAACTATGGGCGGAGATAGATCCCATCGAAAAAAAGCGTAATTTAAAATTTGATACGCCTTCTAGGATTAAAAAAAAAATTGAAGCGAAACCTAAAAAGAAAAAGGAGAAAGAGGAGGAAAAAGAAGGGAAAAAAATACGCATCAGAAATACGCAGTTTTCATTCACATCATTTTTAATACCACTTTGCGTCACCGGTGAAAGAAAGGATTACCAATTTTTATATTGCATTTGTGCTTTGAGAAACGCATTGAAGATTTTAAGTACCACCCTTAGGAAGGAAGGTTTCGCGCAATTGTAAGTGGAATAAAGCATCTAACATGTAAGTTAAGGGGTAACCCTTAATAGAATTTTACAAATGTGACGCATCAGCAGGAACAGCTGTACCATTATAACATGACATAGTCAATTTGTGTGTGAAATGAACGTCAGCGTATGTCTCTTATAGAAAATATTCCGGATCAGCGTTAAGTGTTTTACAAACTGACACATTCGTTGCATACATCCCGAACTGTTGACGTTACACACTAGCTATCGCGCTAAATTGACCGTAGATGTTATCGATGACTAACAATCAGTCAATACACTTTGGCGTTGATGTATTGATGGCCGCGTTCACGAAAGATGTGTTAAGACAATCTAATTTTCTTGTCTAGGTCGACTTGAGGTTCCTTCAATTCATTGAACGTTGATGATCGAGTTGCATAATTTTCGATATAAACAATACTTTCGAATCTGTAGTACGATAATGTATCCGCGAATCTGTTTATTCATGATTGACCCACACATAGGCCAATCCAGAGAGGTATTCGTGTCAAATAGGTAAAACCTGCCTCATTAACATCGGCAAATTTCCTTGTTTTGTTTATGGTTATAATTTCTTGAAACAGGTGTTGACCTCCATAAATACTGATTATAACTTGTATCGGTTGCAATATCATATATCTAGACCATTGTCTTTTATCTTCTTTGTTAAGATATCTGTTCAAACAAAACAATTTAATTAAATTCGGAACTTTGTTTTTTTTTTTTTTTTTTCAAATCGTCAAAGATACTATTCGGGTATTTGGTGGGGGGAATTACTCCGGCAAGTTGGTCAGGTTATTTTTTCCAACACTTAACAGCTACCTTGAGGTTCCCGCCGCGAACTTATCGGAGTAGGAATGTCAGGTTCCATTTCTCGGGACAGCAATGAACGAAAATTAATCGATCCAGATGAGAATCAAACTCAAAACGTTCATAACTGGGCACTCAGGAACCCACGCTCTAACGTCATTCCGTCCTCGTCAAAGTAATAAATAAATTGAGACTCTAACTAAAGACTGCAGTTATCTGAACAAAGTAACCAATTTTTTAAAAGAGACGGGACTTCACAGTAAGATTTAAAATTTTATCAAATTGATTGAAAATCCAAGTGTTTAGTTTTGGGAGGGTGGGGGCTTCAGTTCGAAATCCTCCTCCCCCTCCCCGTGATGATAACTATCGAAATTTTTCAACCTGTAATCCACAATAAAAAAAATAAAAAATTGAGAGAATTGAATTAAACTTTTGGAATCGAAGCTTAATAGACGATCATTATTTGATAATGCTCTATAATTGGGATGGCGTTTAACAATTGTTGGTATATATGTAAAAGTTAAGGGGACCATGTTGGAGAAAATTTTCTTCTCTTTTTGAATGTTTCTTTTTATGTTTTTTTCCCATGCCGGTTAACTTCGACTTTTTAAGTCTTGAGTATTCTTCAGAAGTTTGTGGCTTTAATAGGCGATAGTAGTGATCGTTTTGTTCTCTCTTCTCCGAGATATCCAGGGAGCATGTGGTTTACTAACCGGACGCGGTCACATTTCACTCCCTCTTCATCAGGAAATTTCCTGCAGGATGGTTGGCAATTTTTTGCTTTAATCTTCAATCCAGTTTTTTAAGGGATAGAGGATTATCAGCCCTATGCCCAATCCCCTACCTGGAGGACCAAGAGCTATGGTTTAAGACACTGGGGTCGCTTTCCTCCCTATGAATCTCAGAGTGGGGACATTATTGTCTCCATGCGGGAATCGAACCCGCTCAGCGGAGTTCTCAGTAGTCGACTAGGGAGCCTGCACTTAATTATTTTAATTTTCTATTAATTATTTTATTCATTTTTTTTTTTTGTGTTATTAATACTCGCGAATGGAATTTGAGCACTCGATATAAGATTTTACAGGCGCCTTAACTCGCATGACCTCCACGGCTCCCACATTTTGAATGTGAAGACATATTTTGAATAAACTAAAAAATACCAACAGGTTTTTATGTTATGGAAAATTCTTCCGAAGGAATTGTTTTCTGAAATTTTTTTTTCATAATTTTCTGAAAATAAACAGATAAAAAAAATCCTTTACCTGACCTTTTGCACACAATGCCTTTTGGTCATTCGCATGTCTGTTGAATTATTTTCACTCCTCTCACTGATATCAGTTCAAAAAATACAAAGCTATATTTTTGTTGTTTAACAAAACATTGGCATTAAATACAAAACAATCAATTTTAGGTATATGGTTGGTATGAAGAGCGCAGTGGACTGGGAAAAAATCAAAGCCAACAGAACAACTTTTTCAGACATCATAACTGAGTTTCTTATCAAATCAGGATCAGTTTGCATGGTTGCAGCTAATAGGAAGGAGTTATACACCAAGGTAAACATTTTTATACAAAATAGTTATTGGCATTTAGATTTAAAATTTATTTCTTATAATTTTCAAATAATTTCAAATCATGTAATATAGAGGATGCAATGTTCATTTGGCATATGGCAATGTTCATTATGAATGAATGAATGAAAATAATTTTATTATACTGGGACTAGGGTCCCTTTAGAAGAAGTTACAAATACAGAATATATATTAATACTCTGGTGTGTCCATAAAATACAATTAAAATTTACAGGATGATTAGGAATACAATTATAATGATTTAATAAAATTAAAGATAGTAAAAAAATGCATTCGTGCATAAAAAGTGCATTTCGTGGTCAATTGGATTGGGAATGGAGTAGGTGTTTGAAGAAGAGAAATTTGAAAGAGGATGTTGATTTTTCGTGTCGAATATCTGTACAGAGGGTATAGAGAGTATAGAGTTCCAGAGGGAGACAACTTGAATTAAAAAGAATTTATCAAACGCAGCAGTTCGGTGAGGAGGAGGATGGAGGTAGGACGCACGGGATCTGGTTGGACGGGATTGAAAGGAGCGTTTGAACTGTAGGATCTGTAGAATATAGGCAGGTCGCTGTGTTGTAATGGCTCGGTATAGGAAAGTTGCAAGGAAATATTGACTGCGGTAGGACGGATAGAGCCACTTCAACTCGGTGTAGAACTGGGTAATATACGTATCCCTTGAGATCCCGAAGAAAAAGCGGATTGAGCAATTCATTAGACGTTCAAGTTTAGTTTAGCATTATGGCAGGAAATCAGTACTTAAGAATCCTTACTCAACTCCATACTACTTCCTCTCTCTGAAATTGTCCGGTATGTTGGCTTTCTTCTAAATAAAATGGTCTGGTGCATGTAATATTATTATCAAAAAGATAATCTCGAGAAGGAACTATGAATACATTTCTATTATAAAATTTTACATAATATAATTATACTTTCTGTCGATAGGTAAATAATCCAGATGCACCTTTCATCGTTCTTCTAGCTGCAACAGACATTCAATTGCCAAGCCGAGAAAAATTGTGTGTTGGGACCAGTTGGCTAATTTTTAGGTCAGTGTAATGTATTTCTTTTTTAATTACATAAATTAGTATAATATATTAGAGAACCTGAACATGAATCATTTGTTCATGTTCTAAATTTTCTTAACAATGTAACATTACTAACCCATATGATATGAAAACAAAATTGTATATTTTCACAGATCAAAATTTTCTTTGTATCGTATTGTACATATTTGTCTATAAATATTTTATTTGTATATGTACATTCTCCGTTCCTCATTTATCCATATCTATCATTATGTAATATTGCATAATATAAAACCATTTAAGAAATAAATTTTTTTGGGCTCTCAAAATATTCTGACATTGTCATCACCACGTATGCTGATGACACATGTATCCTATCTGTTAATAATGATCCATCAACTACATCCAAAACTCTCCAATCACATATCACAAACCTTGAAGAATGCTGTAAAAACTATAGGATTAAAATAAATTCCAATAAATCCCATCAAATTATCTTTACCCTGCGTCACAACAATATCCTTTAACCCACTTATCTCAGTTAAACAAATCCGTTAAATAGGACTCCACCTTGACAAACGAATCACTTGGAACCACCATACCAGACTGAAACGACTAGAAACCGCATTTCGACTACTGCATCACTTACTAGACAAACTTTCTAAGCTCTTTGGAATTACGGATTGAGCTTTGGGGCTCCACTAAACCATCGAATTCCTCTCGTATCCCTGCAATCCAAAATTCTTCGTAAAATCCTCAACACTCCTTACTTTGTCAAAAATAAAATCATTCATAAAGACCTTAATGTTCCATATGTTTCCGATTTGGCCCAATCCCGATACCTATCCTTCCATAACAAACTCTAGAACCATCCGAACCCTCTCGTTTCAAACATTGCTTCCTCCTCAATAACCCTCCGAGGCCGCTGAAAAGAAGGTGTGCCTTGTGATCTTCTTGTGTAAATTTATTATTTGAGTTCTATCACTGATTATTTTCTCAACAAGCGATGTCATGTTACATACTACATTCCTATGTGCACATTTACTAGTTGTATTTTTTTATAATTTCTCATTCATCCTATGAGAAATTAAAATTAAATAAATTAAAATGGTGAATGAGAAATTACCTGAAGAATGGAAAGAATCTATTCTTCTTCCGATGCGCAAAAAGGGCCCGAGGACGGATTGTAATAATTATCGAGGAATTTCACTCCTTCCGCTATGTTATAAAATATAACTTTAATCTTAATCAGTCGAATCACGGAATACGCCGAGGAAATTATCGGAGACTACCAATGCGGATTTAGACGGAATCGTTCAACTATTGATCCAATATTTTCTTTACGGCAAATATTAGAGAAAAAATTGGAGTACAACTGTATTGTTCACCAGCTGTATATAGATTTTAAAAAGGCTTACGATTCTATTGACCTCCAGAAACTGTATAATATTCTAATCGAACAGGGGATCCCAAAAAAACTAGTAAATTTAGTGAGGATGTGCTTGACGGAGACACTCAATAAAGTTAGAATCGGTGATAATCTGTCGGAAAAATTTGAGGTTCGTTCGGGTTTAAAACAGGGGGATTCCCTTTCGCCTGTCCTGTTCAATTTGGCATTAGAACATGCCATTAGGGAGGTAATGCGAACCGAGAAAGGGTTTGATCCGGGCGGGACAACATCCGTGCTGGGCTATGCTGATGATCTGGTACTGTTAAGCGAAGACGTTGAAACTATAAAACTAAATACGACAACGTTAATGAAAGCCGGTAAAAAACTAGGACTCGAAATAAACGTAGATAAAACAAAATATATGGTTAGCTGAAAAAATGGCGATCCTACTGGTGATATTGATTGAGTTCTTCTTTAAAATGAGGTGTGTTTCTGCTAACAAAGAAAAAACAAAGCTGAAGATATAAAATATCAGTGTCTTTAAATAATGATTAATATGAAGACTCATCATTGTCAAATGCTAGAGGTACAGATTTAATTATATACCAATAAAAAATAATAATAAAAATAAAAATAAAAAAAGCAAACAATAGATGCGGTCAGTGGCATTAAGAGCCGGAAAATATTGTAATATCCCTAGTGAAATTCACAGTATAGAATAGCACTATCGTTTGATGATGACTAGAAATGTATAATAACGAAAGTTTAGCAAGTATCTGACTATTTTTGGGATAGGAATTGGAATAGGAGGGATTTGAATGTGGATATGGAGGGGGAATGCCGAATTTTGATAGGTAGAGAATTCCAGAAATTGACAGCGCGAGCTATAAAGGAATTCTGAAATGAGGCAGATCTGTGCGAAGGGATGTAGAGGTCAGAAGGTCGAGATCTTGTTGAAAGGGAATGGACTGAGGACTTGAATTGGAGAAGGTTATAGGCGTAAGAAGGAAGATGGTTGTTAATAATTTGATAGAGGAACGTACCTAGGAAATATTGTCTTCTAAAGGAGGGGATGAGCCACCTTAACTCAGTGTAGTGGTGAGAGACATTGGAGTACCTCGGGGCACCGATAACAAATCTTACGCAGCTATTCATTAATCTTTTCAGTTGTATGTGGTATAGGTTCATTTGTGTCGTGTTTGATCGTGGGTAAGGTTTTAGATTGTGTTTTGGCATCTCATGTTTTTTTTTTTTTATCGTACTGTGTTGTATTTTTTCGTTGAATTATATCTTTGTATTGTGTGGTACTATATGGTTAAAAAGTGTTTTATAGACTATGTGATCTCTACAAGAAGTTCCTGTAGAGCTTATTAGACCGCTTTTAGTTCCTGCCAGAAACAAATTATAGGAATCACGTAAAGTGAAATCTAGTTTCGAATAAATTAATTTGAAGTATAAAATACTAACTAAAGGATTCTTGGTAACCCTGATGGATGTAGGAGAGTCGAGACAAATTTTAGTACTGTCCTTCTGAAATTATAATGTCCGGCATACCAAATGTTGACATAGTTGAAATCTAAATAATTGTAAAAAAATCGCAAAGTGAGACTGTTTTATAACATTTATAAGAGCTGGTTCGTTTAAATATATATTTTATTTTTAATAACTTGGCTTAGAAATGATATGAAGTATACCACGAAGATAGGCGGTAGCACCATCAGCATTCAACCTGTTGCAGACGAACTGAACAAAGCCGGAATGTGCTCTTCGACAGGGAAGTGTTCCATTGCGGTAGGAGGGCCATCAACGCTGGTGTTCTTGTCAACGGCTGCTCCACAATGATGACAACCGGCTTCAAGAGGATCGGCGGCATCCATCACTTCATCTTTGACAATGTAAGATAATTTTGAAACTATTTTAGCCACATTTATAGTGGACTCGTCCCCCTCATTTAATGCTTATCTTCACTAGAGATCGATCGATTTAAAAATTATAGCCGATACCGACATTACAAAGATTCATTCAAAGGTTGAAAAAGTTTCATTCAAAGCAGTATTATTATCCTTATTGCTGAATGAACTGTCAAACAACCTCCGAGGAATCGACCCATATATAAATTTAATTGATACTTATGTTCTCATCCTATCTTTATTGCTTAATTATCCGCTTCTTCACTATCTTTAGAAACCTTGGAGTAATTTTTTATCAATACCTGTCCTAGAGTCACTATATTTCCCAAATTATCTGAAAATTCATCTTCAAACAGTTTCAGAGATTCAGTGATTCTATTTCCCTTAAAATTCGTCAGCTTTATTAAGCTGGGTATCTGTACTGAGCAAGATTTATACCCTCCCTTAACCTCTTCCTCGCCCTCCCCCCAAACAAAATCCTGATTAAAATGACTCTTACAGGCAATGCCGAGTTAAATTTCATTCCCAAAGTGAACTACATTGAGATGTACGTCCTGTTCCAGGTACTTTTTAAGTGGCCTTGGAATTAGCCATTGGGAAAATTAGAACGAAGCCAGGAGGAAACATCTAGAACATGACCGAAGACATGGCATGCTGTAGTGATCTCGGCTAGATCGATGATTACAGAAGTACTATAAGAGTTCGAAAGAGCAGGCATGGAACTTTACCTGGTTATGAATGAGGACAAATCTAAAGACCACATGGTGTTTTTAAGGATGAAGAGGTTAAGATAGGCAAGCACAACTTCCCAGCATGCAGGTACTTAAAGTACCTCGGATGAATCGTGGATTGGAGGATATGAAGGGATAAATAGCTGCTGGAAATTAGTGTCTTTATGGCATGTGTAATCCAAAAAACTCTCCAGAAGCGTTAAGCTCCTGATTTACAAAACTATAATTAGGCGCTTAGAAGTATGCAGTAGTGAAACCTGAGTGATGACAATGCCTAGCGAGAACATTTAGACCTTGCGAGAGGACGATAGATATAGAGGAAGAGTTGGTGTCAATTGAGAAGTTGGTGTTAGAAAACAACAGTTTATTTTGCATTGTTATAAAAATGTTACGTTGACTAATAGTACTTTATTAAATAACATGGTCGTCTGGCGTGAACCAGACGATTGCTGAACATAAGACAATTGGATAATTCTAGAGCTGGTATATATTAGGGAACGTAGAGAGGTAAGTAACGTTGGCATTGAAATAGCTTGGAAATATTGTTAGGTCCGGTCAGCTTTCGCCTGGTGACATTGACATCGGTGTTTACAGATAATATTATGACATTCTGGTGCGTTGTCCGCTCCTGAAGCTAACTCAAAAACCAACCTCTATAATTTATTAGATGATTAGTAATTTGATATAGTTACTTAAGGACGGACTCCGATCTGAGACAGTTATTTTCCGAAGCGGCCATAGTGAGAGTTATTAAAAAAAGAAGATTGAGTTGGTTTGGACAAGTGGAAAGGATGCCTAGGTTGAGATTACCTAGACAAATGATGTAAGCTCATCCAGGAGGCTCAAAAATGAGAGTTAAATCGCACTAAAGATGTCTGGATGACGTAGAAGAGGACCTCCGAAAGATGGCGCACCAAATCCACTGACAAAGTGGAGGATGGAGGATGGAGGATGGAGAATTCTCTTCTTAATCTTCGGAGTCTCAGGCGCTACCACGTCTCCAGTTGATATGCTAAGTCGAAGTGGTTCTATCCAGTTTTCCGGCGATTTCTTAGATATATTCCTTTTTCGAATCATTAGACCCAAAAATACCTTCTCGATTTTTTTACTCCTTGTTCCTTTTCTCATTCTTTAAACACGAGATCCAAGCCCACAAACCTGTACATTCCTTATCATAAAACTGATCCCTTTAAAATTCCTTTATCATACGCACTACTTTGTTTTGGATTTCCTTTCTCACCTACAAAACCTCACATTTAACTTCATTTAAACATCAATTATTTTTCCATCGGTTCATCAATCAATTTTCTGCATATATATTAGAATTAAATTTTTGTATTTTAGTATTTCCAGCTTTATGTTACAGTTATTATCTATATTTATACTAGCACAAATATGTAAAAATAATGTTATTTATTTATCAATAATTTCATTTCTTTTTTACTTTTGCTTTTGCTTTATTTTAATTTTATTCTTTTCATACAAATGTCACTTATTTGTACTATTATTATTCTTAGGAGATTAAATGTCCAAGAATAAAATTCAATTTTCTTTCTTTCTAAATTGTTGCGTTTTTTAGTTAATTTATTAATGATAATTTTTACATATTTCAAACTATAATAAAAAAAGTTGCTGGTCCATCCCTTACATACAAACCTCAAATATGTATTTTTAGTTTCTTACGACTTTTTAAAGACAGCATTACCAACATTTGCCAAAAAAGAATTTTTTTTCCTTAACATAAAATATGCCAACATTAATATCAGTATCGGCCAAGCCTAGTTCTTCACTACAAAATTAAATAATTTTGAGCATAAAGTAAAGATTACATTAACATAGTTCTGTCAATTCTGTTAGCAAACATTTTACATTGAATCGCTTCAGTTGATACTTTTGAATAGACATTGTTTTTGCGAAAATGGTTCCAAATTTCCTCGTTATGGTGAGTGGTGGGGGCAGATCAGGCGATCTAAAAGATAACGCTTAATCCATACGACCATCCTGGCCTCATTCCAGCACTAGTATCCATAGAAGACAGATGCTCCGAGGTAACAAAGAGATGTTTTAACCTGGCATAAAAATGGTAAGCTGTTTTTGCACAATTCGCATAACCTGCCAATTCATTAAATTACATACCAATGCATACAATTATAATGTTGCCCATAATTTGAATGTTGCCTATTAAGAACTCATGAGAGAGGGCCTTGCCTTAATTTAAAATTTGAAAAGTTGCCTAAGCAGACATTATTTTAAATACAATCTCATCCCATGTTTTGTTTAGAGATATGGCGACTTCATATTGTTACAAGAAAAATGTTTCTTACGCAGCTCTGGAACTGCGATTTTCATGAATGAAGCACTATTCTACAAATTTCCGAAGGAAGTCCAAAGTTGGGTCCTGGAGAAAAAGGTATTAAAACAAAAAATTCACTAAGTTTTTTTTTAATTTCGTAAATACTACTAAGCAAGATAGTGTTGAAATTGTTTATTGAGTAATAATACTATCTGATACATTGAAGGGCAACAAGCATTAAGGCAATAATTATTTATTTAAATAAAGGAAGGAGATGGTCCGGGGTGGCGGTCATAAATAGGCTAAATAGTGGTAAAACTATTTTGTTCAAAGCCAACGTTTCCTCAAATTCGTTCATGTCTATTATTTCATATTATATCATTTTTCCTTTTCTTTCAATATATCCTCTAGATCTGTAGAAGTATATTCACATTTGCATATATTATATATTACACTACAACAATTGTTACATCTATTTACTTCAGCTTAGGATCTTGTTACTTAGCTTACTCTGTTTATATTTTAATGTACTTACTGTTTAGAATTTTAATAAATAAGCTTATTCACATTATTTACAATTTTTTTTCTAAATATTATGTAACTTCCACAATTCTCTATCTTTTTGTATCTTGTCCGTTCCTGCCCTGAAGAAGCCCTGAAAATTTGGGTCGAAACGTTGGTCCACACCGGACTATCTCCTTCCTTTATAAAGCAACGGTCAACTATTAAATATTCAATTTTTTTGAATAATCTATACAAAAAAAAAAAAAAAAAAAAGGAGCGGGAGGCTGTATATCTTAGTTGACAGGAAATTAGAAAGGAAGTAAAATATACTAGAAATAATGGAAGAAAGATATTGATATTATATGTTACAAATATTTTATTTACGAAATTCTCGGAATTGTGTAGTTTTCAATCTGAAGGTCGGCAAACTTTGTATATTTAATTAGGTACTAAAAACTCGTAAATGCCTATTTGCTATCCACTTGAATCGTAAGATAAGTTGAGCACAAAGTCGAGAAAAAAGGTGACCATCAAAAATGTTGAGCCGTTTGGCGTGACCTACAACCTCAAATTGTCAAAATAACGAGGTTATATAAACCAAACGGCCCTATATAGAGCGTCTAGTAGGTGAGAAGCGGAAACGTCAAGCAGTTTCTTGTATGAGGATTCAAAGTAAGATTATGTTAAGTAGTATATAATTTCTATTAGATTATAATATTCTAGGTTTTGTACATTTACTGATTTTTATCTGATAATAAAAAATAATTTTCTAATGGTACATTTACCTTTGGCAGCTCGGTGAGAACGAGTACTATTCCAGATACACTGGCGGTTGGTTGTCCGACGGCTACAGGATATTGCGGTCCGGAGGACTTCTCCTCTCTCCCCAAGACAGCGAACGTACAGAAGGAAGGGTAACGAACGGCATGTTAAATAAAAAACATAATTTTTGGTATAATACTACACACAATGAGCCATTGTGATGGAACAAAAAGTTCGAAAACTTTACTCCCTCTCAAAATTTGAGATTTTACGTTTCAGGATGCATAGAATTCGATAAACGAATAAAAATTTGTTTGTCCGTCCGCTGTCCGCCGTCCGTGCATTTTCTCCGAAACTATTGGACCGATTTTTTTTTTTAAATTTGTATTTAAAATTAGAGGTCACCCGAGGATGATCCTCCTTCATCGACATTTCTATCCGCCTTTTCCTTTCAAGATGGCAACCGAAAAACCTGCGTTGCTGTAAACTGTAGCGCCTAAACGAATGTACCGATTTCAATGAAACTTCGCTAAAGTCTTCTTCTCCATACCCTTTAAATTTTTCAATATAAGATATTTCAACGAAAAGAAGCTGGGAAAAAGTTACGAGGGATGTTAAAATTAGATTCCGAATGATTCAGAAAGTATACACTTTTTTGTTGATATTGGATATGGTTATTTAAAAGTTTGTATAACCATATAATTATATAACCGGCATATCCTAAAATACAAAAAAATCGTTATAATCGGACAATTAGGAGCAAAGATATGGTCTCCAGATGTTTTTCATATGTTATACTGCAAAGGTTATATCCTTTGTTTTGGTTTCTGAATGTGTTACTCAGGAAATGGTTATTTTTTAAGCATATTACTAACGATTAAAAAAAAAAGAAATATAGTCCAATAATTGGAAACACCTTTTATTTCTTTGTCTTTGTCTCTAGGAAGCACTAGCGGATCTAGAATTTAATTTTGGGGGGCTTCAGACCTAAAGCTTTTTTTTTCATAAAAATGACGATAATTACTTTGGAAAAAAAGAAATTAACTATCTATATGAAATGGTGTTTAAATTCCTTAAGTCGTTTTAAATGTAATTACAAGAAAAATAATACTTTAACAGATAATTTTTTAATATAATTTTCCATAAAACATGGATATATTTTAAAATTTTGGGGGGGCTCTTCAGCCCGAAAGCCCCCCCCCCTCACCGTCGATCCGCCCGTGCTAGAAAGGTAACGTTACCTTAGATGTATAATTGTTTAGAAATAATTAACCATTGTGGAATACTTTGCAATGTTTTTAATATCATTTTACAAATGCGAAGGTTCCAATAACTTGAATCCTCCTCGAGACAACGCCGAATATTTTTAGGGGAAAAACACGTGTAAATTGTTTTAATAGTTAAGAAAAGAAAACGAGCTCTTCTTTTTATTTTTCTATCTATACTAGATAAGGAAAGTATTGCAATCGCGTCAAATTTCCGATATGCGGTTTTCGATGTGTCTATACGTTTCAGAGCCTTCTGAATCCGAAAAAAAACAGTTTTAGCCATTGGTCTGTCTGTCTGTCTGTGCCAAGATTTTCTCGGGAACTAATGAACCGATTTTGTTGTTCTTTTTTTTATTTTGAAGACTTTTTACTACTGATGCCTGTGACTCAAATTGTTTGCTCCATGCTCAATAGCTGCAGCACAATAAATGAAAAACATGTTTTTCTATAGACTGTAGTGCGAAAACGGCTCTAACGATTTAGATGAAACTTTCCTATAATGTTCTAATAAGTGTCAATTCAATTTTTGTACATAGACTAAATTCCTGAGAAAATTCAGGAAAATAATTTATAAAGAAAAGAAAAATGTTATGGAGCCTAACTCCCTAAGTATATATCATACTGTAAAATTTATAATGAATCTTTTGAAAGGTAATTAAATTAACAACAAAATTTAAAAAAAAAAACCATCGGAATCGAACCAGTATTAGCGATGATACAGCTTATTCTATTTTTTATACATGTTTTAACTTATTAATTTAAAAATCGTTCATTTTGGACAACTATTAACGAAGTTGCAGCTATTTAATTTCCAATGTAAGATTACGAGTTCATATCCTGGTGTTAGTAAGAGGTGAATGAGAGAAAAAATATGACTAAGTGAAAGTAAGAAAATCTGTTTCCCGCATCACACAAGCTTCACTATTTCCTCAACTTTGAATAGAAACTATTGTTTGACGACAGTAAGCTATGGCAAAAAGTTTTTGATCAGCATTATTAGAGAGTATTGGAATTTGTACAGTAATCTAACTTAAGCAGGTTTACATTGCTTTAGTTTATCAAATAAATGGAACTAAAATCTTTCCTTTGATCAATTTTCAGGATAATAAATCTAGTTCAATTTTTTTTTGTTTCTTCATGAACATATCCAAAGATATAAAAATGTTTCTGAAATAGGTAGGAAAGTCGTGTGTGTGCGACTTTTTTTTTTTTTTTTGTATTTTAGGATATTCCGGTTATATAATTATATGGTTATATAAACTTTTATATAACCATATCCAACATCAACAAAAAAGTGTATGTTGGGGCCAGGGGTACTTCAAAATCGAAGTACAAATCTTTCCCCGGTGGGTTTCCTTAAAAGTGGGGAAAATTCAAGTAAAATTAAAATATCAAGGGAAGGAAGGGGAAAAAAATTAGTGAATAAAAATAAGACCTGTAAAAGAAAAAAAAAATATGCATATCAAAATATTAAAATAAAAATATTCAATTAATTAGATATGTGGAAAATAAAATATCCCCCTTTTAAATGTTTACAATATTTATTCTGGTGAAAAAAGCTATAAATTTATACAAAAGTTTAAATAAACAAGGATGAAAAGTTACGAGAAAAAATAAAACATAAATATAATATCCAGAGAAAATAAAAACAAATTAAACATATATAAATAAAACCAACTTCTAAAATTATAAACAAAATCAAGAGAAAGAAAAATAACTATCCAAAAGAACAAAACTAATTTTAGCGAACCAGATATTTTATATATAATTTACAGTTTAAACTTTAAAGTTTATGGAGTCAGGATACTATTTTTCTGACTTAATTATTGATGAATAATTTTCAGATAAAGTACTTAAGTAAAGCACTTCCTATGGCGTTCTTGATAGAGAAGGCAGGAGGAAAGGCGACTGACGGAAGAATCGCCATCACCAAGTTGGGAGCCAAGAAGTCGCCCTTCACCAAACTCGTTTTTGGCACCGTCAGCGATGTTGATGCCTTCATGGAAGTAATAAAAGAATCCTCGATCAGTGACCAAGACTTCATGTCAAGTGGAACTGATACAGACGACACTTCGACTGATTTCGAATAATAAATGAATTTAAAATGGTTCATATTTTAAAATTTTAATTTCATTACTTCGAAGTCATGTCCCATGGATTATACAGGGAGTCCCGTATATAGGGGAGAAATATTTATAAGATTTATAGCAGATCTCAAAACCTACTAAAAGAAAGTTTATATTAACGTCGGTCCGATTTTTGGCAGAAAAGTAGGAAATTTAAGTTTTAAGTATATTTTAAGTGTCTTTTTTGGTTTATTTTCAATAATGAACCATTGTTATCGAACTAGGTTCTACAAGGACTGTAGCGACCATTGAAGAAAAAGTAAGTTACGGTGAAATAAAGCTATTTACGAAGTTTTAGGCAGATGTTAATAATTTGATAAAAAGAGGTCTATACCATGGACTAGAAATAAATATTTAATTTGATTAATATTAATAAATGATGCATTATAAATAAATATAACATCTTAAATACCACTTTTATTTTATTTTATTTTTTTGTGACAAATCATCATCTGAAGTAGTAATGAAAATGTATTTTTTACTGGCGATGATATAAAATATGATTAAAATAAAATCAGGAATATTTTATGATTTTTTAAAAAAAAACAATAATTCGCTTAGCTTTTCAACCGCTCAAAAGTCATCTTTGAATAATTTTAACAACGACAAATTCTATTTTTATTTTAAGTAAGTTTTGTCTTATTTACATTGATGCAATTCTTAATTACTTAAATTAACCATTTCTTTAGTTATCGTTTCCTTTTCAACAAAAAACATGATTTATTTTTTTTAAAAACACAGAACATAAATTTCCTACTTTCATGCCGAATATAGAACCAATTTTTATATGAACTTTTTTATAATTTTTGAGGTCTGCTATCATCCTTTTTAATATTTGCCCCTACTACTTACTTACACGTATATATATATATATATATATATATATATATATATATATATATATATATATATATAAGTGTATATAAAATCTACAATGATACCAAAACAGTTTTATTATATTTTGAACTAATATTATTAAATTAAATTTAGAGAATTACAATCTTGAAATGTAAAATACATGAGCATTTCTCATCACCTGTTTTTAACAAAATAGTTAAAACAATGCTACCTATATGTCGCCGTAGATATTTCTTGTTCGAGTTTTACCTATATGGAAATGAACGTAATTTATTTTCCTATAAAAATTAATTATCTATCAGTAAATTATTTTTTTTTATTTATTGCCTTAACATTAATCTTAAAAAATGTATCTAATAAATTAAATACATACATTAAAGCTAATTTTAAAGTAAAGAATATAGCGAAAATAAATCCTCCTTAAGTCTGTGACGGGAAGTTACCGAACTAACGATACTATCGATAGTTTTTCATCGACACTATTTGTGTTGCCCTAATGCGAGACTGAGACGAGTCTTGGTCTTGCAAACTCAGTCTTGGTCATGGTCTTGGTGTTGCGCAATAGTCTCGCAACAGTCTTGCAGTTACTTATTAGCTTATTACTATAGAGATATTACTGTAATTTTTTAGATAGGAGAAACCTAACTAAGCTCGAATGAAAAGTTAAATGCAAAAGTATATTGGTTATATCAATTATTAGCATATAGTAGCTAAGATTGTCAAGTATTAGTAACTATTTCGCCTTTATTTTTATTTAAAAAATCGATTTTTTTTTACCAGTCCTAGTCTTGGTCTTGCGCGAGTTAGGCGGCCTTGGTCTTGGTCTTGCAAAGTGCAAGACCAAGACCGATTTCGGGCAACACTAAACACTATCGAACTAGCGATAGTGGGAAACTAACCCATACCTACGATTATACTGTTAGAACGTTGTCATTTTCACTCATCATAGTGGGATGGCATTTGTAAAATGGTATCCAAAAAATAATTCAAGTCAACCATTCTCCACCAGCGGGGTTCTTGAATGAAGTCAAAATGAGCATTAAAAGCGAACTTTACGAATTCGGTTATACTTATTTTAAAAAACGTAAATTTTTGAAAATGTTTTGTAGATTGAGTCCTGTTTTTCTGGGTGACTTACCAGTTCATAAGTATCAGAAATTTGCACACAGAAATGACCTGCTCCGCATTTGGAGAAATTAGGACTCAGTAAGAGAGGAATTCTCGTTCTTAATGAATCCATCTTACTCCTCATGCATATCATTTTTAGAGTTTGTCTATTTTTTTTCAGAATTTTTTTTTTCATATTAATGCTCTGAAAAGCTATCGGGTTCGAGATAATTTCTAAATTATTAAAAATTTAAGTTGTTACTTGAGAAATTTTCAAACTGACTACCTCTTATCTGACCTGACTATATAAACCATATGTTTTATCGAATTAATTAAATAATCATACAGGGATCATATAACAGATCATTCAATACATGGTTTTCTCGTGAAACACAATGATTAGGGGGGGGAAAGAAATTTAAATTAAATTACCATGGCTTAAAAGGAAGGCTATACACAGAACAATCACAGATGTTAGACAGCATCACAAAAGCTACAAAAATCCTTTCTGTATCCGGAATCGCAGTAATTATTATATATTTAAGCACATATTATTTTTTTGGCATCAACATGAAGGACAGAGGTAAAAGAAGTCAGGAGAGGGAATGCGAAAATGTTGAAGGTGGTAACGAACATCTATACGCCAAGAGTTCAGTCAGTAAATAGTTTACTTTTCTACATTATGTGATAATATAATAATATTTTATTGTATGTTATATTACATGGTAGTAATATTAGTAGATTGTTATTTGTAATAAGAATTTTTCAATTCTCAGAATATTTTTATTTTCATATTTATATTAAGACCAATATACTTCAGATTTTCTAAAGTAAATCGTCTCGAATTTAAAAAGTGATTTTATATCCTCAAGACATTCCAAGTTCTGCTGGCCTCCTCTTCCTTTAAGCATCAGGTAAGTAAAGGGCATAAGCCAATCTTATAATCATCTATAGATCCTGAAGCATACCATTGATTGTCCACGTGGTACCAATGGATTTTCGCAATTGATGTCGCAATTGTCAGCGTTTGATTTTCAGTACTTATTACAACTGATATATTATCACAACTTCGGTACTTTACAAATGTTGCTCCAATGGGTTCAAGATCTCATGATCGCCCTGGAAAAGGAATGTTCGAGTGTATCCGGAAAAGGACGGTAGTGACCAAAGTCTCTTGTAACTCACCAACCTTAACCGAAAAAAAGACTTTGTGTCTTTTGTGCGAGCATAACGAACGGAAGTCGACAGCAGCGATGTCTTATTAGAGCTCCGAGTTCGAGTTGTATATTTCGAACTAAATAATGGAAGGTTATATATACACCAACACGTCAATACTCGGCCATTTTCGCAATTCCAGTTATTGTGTGATCGTGTGATGTTGTGCCTGCATCGAAGTAACACTTATAAGTCCATCTAAATTAAGTTTGCCGGTCGGAACAGGGGGAGAGAAAGACGCTGTGGCAAAACGTTTTCCCGCCGATTCCCTCATTCTTGTCATTCTGACGTACTTCTTCATATTTGTTTACAAGTAGAAATTTTTTTTTCAATTTCTTTTACAAAATTAGAATTTAGAGTGATCTTCGTGTTGACTCTGAGATATGTACAAAGGAACGTTTTTAAATATCTGGGATCTTACCTCGACTCCTCTGGATCCTCTGAAACTGACGTCCGAAGAAAAGCAGAACAAGCTCGAAAAGCCATACCCATGCTGCACCCGGTTCTGTGGAACGAGCTGATTCTAAAGAAGAATAAACGAAGAATCTTAGTCGAACCCATCTTAACGTTCAGAGCTGAAACATGGACCATGTCATCCCTACTCTATCCAAAGCTTCAAGTAGTGGAGATGGACTTTTAGCGAAGATGCTTACGTATAACAAGAATGGACAGACTTCGGAATGATGTCATTCGGGAGAGGATGGAGGTTCATATGTCGGTCAACAACGGAATCGGAAAGCGAAGGCTTAGGTGGTACGGTCATATAAGACGAATGTCAACAGAGTGATGTCCGAAACCACTTCTGGACTGGCAACCGCCGAGAAGTTGGAGACGGGGACGACCCAGAAGTAGATGGATTAGTGGAGTGGACGAAGAAATGGCTGGCCGATGTCTTTAGGATTGAGATTGGCTGGACAGCCGGTCTGGGGTGAATGCTATGGTGAGGAGGGGAGGTGGAGCTGAGAGAGGAAAGGCTACGCGAGCTCTCTTCCTCTGCAGGCAAACTTATCTTAGACGCACTATACTATAAATTAGTATAGTATACTACGTCTAAGTATAAGTATACTATACTATAAGTTTTCCTTTGTTTAACCTTTCACCGCGGGTGCAATTCATAAGGTATATGATGTTCTGTACGGACGCATTTCTAACCTGTCAGTAAATATAGAAAACCAAGTTTTCTCTAATTGTGAGTTAAGGCCAAGACAAACGTTGTTGCATATTAGAATCTTCGTATTTACTAAATCACTCTTTCCAACAACAGACCCGAATGACTTCCAAAAAAATGTATTAATCTCAGAAAATCAGTTTTACTGAGAATAAGTACGATTCACTTACTCCACAAAAAGAACTAGCCCCCGACTCGTTAAAATATACTAGATTGTTACAAAAGTGCTTGTGCGTAAGTATAACTTTATTATTACACGTTATATATTTTAATCATTATTGAGCACTATTATTCAAATTAAAGTCCATTGTTTTCAATTACGTTTACCCTTCTTTCTGGTAATGATTGGATTAGATGACGATATTACTCCTTTGGTTTTGAGGCAAAGAGCTCTTCGCATCTAATTTTTACTTCCTTGTAATTGTCAACGATCCGACCTTTTAAAAAATGAGTAATTGATCTAAACAAACCATAATCTAGGCTATACACAAGATAGGCAAAACGTTTAATGCTTGCAGTTCCGATGATATTTCATTGGTCAGACGAAAATGATACGTCGTGTTGCAAAATGGCTCGGTTTCTGTTGACCGAAGCGGGGTACATGTACTCAAAACTGCATGAACTTGTCTAGCAGTTCGCACTAAAGGCAGTCCGCTGCCTGGCTGTCTGGAACAAACCCAAAATGCAAAACGCTGTCGAAGTTTCGAAGACTCATATCCCCTTTGTTGAAACGCCTGAACTAAAGTGCGGCAGTATTTCGATGGATAACTAAATCTCCTTCTATGGCTCAATTTTCTTCGGCGGCTTCCTTTGCGCTAGTTCTTCTTCCCGTAATGCTACCAAAGACTGCGAATCTTTTTCTTGTGATAATGCACACGCGTTTTAAAAATGTTAATGACTCCATAATGCCACTCAAGTCACAAGCATTACATAAAGAATTGGTCAAAGACATAATAGTAGGACCAAAAACACTCTTATAGGATTAATTATGAGAGTTGGAATTAAGCGTTGTGTTCATACGCAAGGACTTTTGTAACAGCCTAGCTACGACAACGTTCTGTTTCATCGATAAAGAAATACATACGGCCGTGGTGCTGGAAGGACGCGGTGCGAGAATGTGTTACCCAACCTTTATCCGGAATAGGTATAGCGACATTTCTCCGGTTGAACGAGATTCTACTTTAATCTCAATTAGGTTTTGTATTTCTAATTTAATTCTGGCAGAGAATCGAAAAGAGGTGATGTCGTAATTAGTATACTAAAGATAGCCATAATAACAATTGTTAACACCGTTGACAATCTAACAATCACATGTGCGATCCCTTGTGTACGATACCGGATAGTTTTTTATTTTCTGATTATCTGAAGCGGTATCCAATTAGTTTAATGTTGGTAAATAAAAACAGCAATAAAACAATAAGATATCTTACATAATAATGTAATAAAATTTTCAGTACCAACCAGTGTTAAATACACAGTTGCCCCAAGTATTCATGTCCACAAAGTAGAACTAATTTCCAAGAAGGTTCTATAGATTTTTCATGAAACTTCCATCAGATTTAGAATTCGTGAAGCACTTAATTCAGTAAGTATTTAATATTATATCTCTTCATTTATGTCTTTAAATATCAATATTATCTTATTGTTCTGAAGTATACTAAATGGATTTAATTAATGGATGGTTATAGAAGTTAAAACTCTGGGTGACATTTTGTTTCTATACCAAATGACAATCATACAGAACATGCAGCTTTTGTTTAATACTAATTTAGTTTTACAAAATTGGTATAACTGTCTGGTGGACTTAAACCAGCTTGAGGGGACTGATAAATTGTTTCATTAGATCAGAGGTGCACAGAAGGGGTTGCAAGTTGCGCCATCAACATTTTTGAGAGGAGTATATTTCGACGGGGTTATGAATTTTCTGACTAAGGGATAAGACCACAGCAAGTATTGTTGTATATGATCTACAATATTTCTAATTCTACCTCAGCTTCTTCTGTTTTTAAGTAATGGTGAGGAATAAAATATTTTGGGAAGAGGGAGGCAGGTAGGTTCTAGCGAGGGGGTTGGCGCACTCCTGTATTAGATTCACCTTTGGAGTCTTCAGGCGTTCCCACGTCTCCAGTTGGTGTGCCAAGTCGAAGTGGAAGTTAATCCAGTTTTTCCGACAGCTATATTTCCTAGGTATATTTTTCCAAAACCCTTACACCCAAAAAAACCAACTTACCGTCATGACTTGTTTATTCCTTGTTCCTCTGTCCATTTGTTCAACAACGAGATCCCTGTACGTAACGATGTTAATTCCTTCTCTTAGAACTGTTTTCTTTAAATATTCCTTTTTCATACGTACAACCTTGTTTTTTTTTTTTTTTTTTTTTTTTTTTTGTATTATAACAATCTGTCTGTTGGACATTGGTTATAGTGAGGTAGGATGACATTCACACCATATGTACAAAAAAATAAAATAAATAGAACAAAATAATAATCAAAAGTATATACAATAGACAATAAAATAAAATAACCTAAAAAATAAGAAAATTAAAACTAAGGAAAAAAAAAAAAAACACATGCATACCTATATACAATCAGGCGAGGGAACTCCAGGAGAACCCTGCGCTACTCTCCCAACCGCGTCACTGGTACTAAAGCCAGCGGAGATTGGTCGAGAGCACTTTAGCCACATACACACATGTCTTGAGTGAAGAATCAGGCCATTGCCAGAACTCCAATTTATATAATCTACAAAAGGTCGCGAGGCCACTGCCGTTTCAACCTTCTTGGAGGATTATAGGGATGGGAGATGCTTGATAGGGATTGTGCAAGAGGATTTGGGTGGTAAGTAAGGTTCTGGTGAAATTTGGAGAATTTTTCTGGGATAAGGTCTAGGACAAATGGGATGTTAAGGTCATGATGTAGGGTTTTGTTGGATACATAGAAAGGAGCATCGACTATTGTTCGAAGGACTTTAGACTGGAAGGATTGGATGCGCTTGATGTTAGAAAATTTTGCTGATCCCCACAGTTCTAGTCCGTAAGTCCAAATAGGTTTCAGTATTGTCTTGTAGATCAGTAGCTTGTTTTCAATGGAAAGTTTAGATTTTCTGCTTAGTAGTCGGTATAGTTGGCCGTATCGTCGGTTGAGTTCTTATCTTTTGAGTCTAGTATGCGGGTTCCAAGTTAGTCTTCGGTCTAAATGAAAGCCAAGATACCGGACTGTGTCTGAATAAGGAAGCTGGATGGAATTAAAGAGTACTGGTGGACAGGAATTGCGTCGGAGTGTAAAGGTAATATGTTGGCATTTAGATTCATTAACTTTAATGCGCCAGTTATTACACCAGTGCTCAATCAAGGTGAGGTGACTTTGGAGATTTAAGGATGCTATTTCGGGATCAGAGTTGGATGATAAGATTGCGGTGTCGTCAGCGAATGTTGCAAGAAAAGTATCGGGATGAACAGGGATGTCAGCAGTAAAGAGGATGTAAAGCACGGGACCCAAGACGCTTCCTTGGGGAACACCGGCTTTAACGGAGTAGATATTGGAAAATTCTGTTCCACAGCGAACTCGAAAGGAGCGGTCAGAGAGGTAGGATCGGAGGACTAGGTACAAGGACTGAGGTAAATGGATTTTAAGCTTGGAGAGCAGTCCGGAGTGCCATACCCGGTCAAATGCCTGTGCAATGTCCAGAAAGGCACCCGAACAGTATTCCTTGTTTTCTAGGGCTGAGGAAATATGATCAACAACTCGGAGTCCTTGTTGAACAGTAGAATGTTGAGAGCGAAAACCAAATTGATGGGAAGGGATATTTTGGGATTCTATAATGGGTAGGATTCGTTTCAAAAGGATCTTTTCAAAAAATTTTGAAAGGATTGGGAGTAGGCTGATTGGTCTATAGGATGTTGAGCTATTGAGAGGTTTTCCTGGTTTTGGGAAAAGGATAATAGTGGAGTTTTTCCATAACAGAGGGAAGTGGGTGGTGCGTAGGATACAATTGTAGATATATGTAAGGAATATGACTGCTTTGGATGGAAGTTGTCGAAGGATTTGAGGTGTAAGGAGATCATGTCCAGGAGCTTTACGGAGGATTAGTTTTTTTAATTGAAATTTTACTTCGGAAGGATGAATAGCTTTTGGGGGCAAAGAAAGTGGGATTGGTGATGTAAGGAGTTCTTCTACTGTTACGGTGTGGGCAGGATGGGATTCTGGATGTGAAATAAATGTATTGGATAGGTGAATGGCGAACTCCTCAGCTTTATCTTCGTCAGATGCTGCCCAGGAGCCATCACCTCGTCGGAGAGGATGGGAAATGCGGTGAGGATTTAGGATTTTTGTTGTGGTTTTCCAAAGGGAATTGTCGCGAGAAGAGAGGGAGGATAGGTAGGAGTTGAAGGATTGTGATCTGAAGGTGGCTAATTCCAGTTTTAATTGTTTGCAGTAGTAATTATAGGAGCAGCGGTCGGTAGGATGTCGGGTACGTTGCCATAATAATCTGGCACGGCGTTTGGTGCGGATTAGGTTATGGATGTGTTGGGGTAGAATGGTCTTTATAGGAATTCTGGAGGAGTCTTTTGGGAAGGAGGCAGTCCAGGCGGCTTGTTGGATTGTGGTAGTAAAGGAATTTACGGCACTATCAAGGTCATCGGGAGTTTTGAGGGATATGTTGAGATCAATATTATCGGAGATTATTTGGCGGAAAAGGTCCCAGTTTACTGGGCCCCTAATGAATGACGGTGGAGAAGGTTTGGGAACAGGTTCAAGTGAAACATTAAGGATTAGAGGACTATGGTCAGAGGAAAGTTCATTTAGACGTGTAATGGAACAATTGAGGGGACTTAAGCCGCTGTGGATAAAGAAATCAAGAAGATCAGGATTACGGTTGCGATCTGTGGGCCAGTAGGTAGGAGAGTTGGGGGAAAGGAGGTGAAAACGTTGGGAATTGAGTGCAGACAGCAGGGTTCGGCCACGAGAATTCGTGGTTCTGGAACCCCATTGTTGGTGCTTGGCATTTAGGTCTGCACCCAAGATGAAGTGATGTCCTAAGGAGTCGAGAAGAGAACTGAATTGGGCATTGGATATGGATCGGTTAGGAGGGCAATACGCTGATGCAAGAGTGACCGGAAAGGAGAAGGTTTTTATCACGATAGCGGTGGACTGTAGGAAATCATGTATTGGTAATGGGAGTACGTGATGGGAGAGGGATTGGTGTACAATTACAGCAGTACCGGCATGTGCTTTTCCGTTAGGGTGGTCAGTACGATATGTCAGGTATTGTGGTATATTGAAGTGCTGTTTAGTGGTTAGTCGAGTTTCAGTAATTAGTGCCACATCAATGTTCTTGTCAAGTAGTAAAGTAGATAGTTCGTCTGTATGATTTCTAACACCATTCGCATTCCAAAGGAGAATGGATATGGGTTTAGGGATGTGAGTCATTTAAGGATTTTTCAAAGGAGGGATGAGGTGAGATACGAGATTCGTGAGGAGTGATATGAGTGGAGTAACAAGGGATTTGAAATCGGTGAGGAAAGATGCTAACAAACTTGTGAGATCTGTTGCATTTGAAGGAGGAGGAATATGAGGAATTTGTTGTTGGTGGTTAGGTATATTAGGATGAAGAGGATTTTGAGGTTGGGTTTGAGGTTGTTGTTGTGGCAGGGCTTGACATTTATCGGTTAAAGTCTTACCTCTAAGTAGTTGGGAGAATGATACATCATTGTTTACAATTCTGGAAGGCTCTCTCTCTCTTCTTGTTCTTAGTGCTTCATCTTGAATCTTGTTTTTCTGGTGTCTGGTTTTGAGATTCTTGTAAATTTGGCAGCCTTTGTAGTTGGCCGGGTGTCCCTCCAAGCATAGGGCACATACTGCTGGATCTTGTATAGGTTTGGTGCACTCTACAGATTTGTGCTGTTCACCGCACTTCACGCAACGCGGCAGATGGTGGCAATATGTCTTCGTGTGGCCATAGGTCTGACAATTATGGCACTGCACGATGTCTCTCTTGGGATATGGCTTCTCAACTTTCACCATTGTGTAGTATATTCTTGTGATATCATATATTTTTTCGATACCTGGTGATGGCTCCAAGTCCACGAAAAACAATGGTAGTGGGATCCTATTTCGTAATCCTGGCTGCTCCCTGTCCTCCTTCAAAACGTTTGTTACCTGGCGTACATTGAAACCAAGCGTCGTTAGTTCTTCTTTAATAACTTCAGTGGGGGTTGAGGAATGTAAATTTCTTATCACTACTCGTAAAGCTCTTTCCTGCCTCAGCTGGTAAGTGTGAAAATTCGCATTTGTTTCTGATAAGTACTTCACTATTTTTCGGTAGGCTTCTGCAGAATCAGGTGTTATTTTGGTGTCATTGGTCCTGTTAAGGCATGAATAACTGCCAGAGCAGATTTTATTTAGTTGGGTGCAGAACATCTGGAATTTTTTTATATTTTTCACAAATATCGGAGGAGGCTTTGGTTCTCTGGGTATTGCTGCAGACTCCATTACTTCTCTGTCATTTTGAAGCACTTGGTAGGGGTTTGGAGTAAAGAAAGGTGATTCTTCAATCGTTTCTTGTGCAGACGTACCTGGTTGGGGCTGAGGTTCTGGTTCTGAAGTGTTCATTTTGGTCACTGGAGGTATTTCTCGTAGGCAGCGACGAGTCCTTTGTTTGGATGGTGAGCTAACTCCGTCTGACCGAGATCTCTTGGGCACCTTACTGGCCATCACTTGCTGATCATACCGCATATCATAAGAGAAAAATAAATAAATAAATAAAAAAAAAAAAAATTTTTTTTTTTTTCTTAAAATAACAAAAAAAAAAGATGTCAACAGTAAATATCAACTGCTCTGATATACACTTTAACTGTATCACGTGAATAATCAGAGAGATTCCGCTATAAAATTGGTAAAAACTGAGAGAGGAGTTGAGGAGACAACCTTCGCATCAGCTGATCCACTGCCTTCCCTTGTTTTTGAATTCCCTACATAACCTCCATACGAAAATCCACATCGTTGACTTCATTTAAACACCATTTATTTTTCCATCTCCTCAGTAATCAATCATTCGATTATATGATCAATATTTTCCATGTATTTTAGAGCTATCAGCCTCATTTTTCTCTTACCTTACAGAAACCTATATGTTATCTACATTGTTTATTAGTACAAATATGTGAACTCATTCAAATGTATTTATCTCTAATTTCATATGCCTATTTTTGCTTTTCCTTTATTGTAAATTTAGGACTAGAATGAATGCACCAGTTATGGACAGGTTGTACATTTATGTTATCTTATCTTTATAGTTAAAGAAAGAATTTATAATTTTTCTGAGGTAAGCCTATTACTGGTATTGGCCCCTGCCTATTACTAGAACAATTGAATTTCGGAATGTCCATCAATGGTGCAAAAAGGTGTTTTTTTTTTAAAGGAGATTATAACTATTATAACTATATTTAATGTAGAAGTTTTTAACTATAATAATTACCATAGCATAAGCCAAAAAAGACAAAACTTTCCTTAGCTATTTCCATCACTGGTGGATTACCCTAAATATCCCAGAGTAAAATTTACTTTTGTATGACGCCACTATACATCCCTTCTCTCCACCACCTCCCCGTATTAACACGCTCATTGCTTCGACTTACATCTTTGCAGTCAGGTGTGTTTTTCTTTTTTATTCTCTTTCTTATTTCAGACTTCTCAGTTTCTTTCCTCCTTCCTTTAATCCCTCTGCGCCGTTTTAACTCTTTATTATGTTATACGTTGTCTATACATCTTGATAGACTTTACAACATTTCAATTTTCTATTATAACTATTCTATTCACAATATCTTAATTTTATTGTTTATTTCCTTTTCTTATATAACTTCATATTTTTCTGTTTTTACACTTTATTCTAAGATTCCCATTTTAATACTTTTGTCACCTTTTTTGACTATGTTTACTTCATCATTCCACACTTTGTACCGCTTATTGTCATTTATCTCTTAGCTCTTACTATTGTCATTATTCTAACTACTGAATTTTACTTTAATTTTTTTTTTACTTACACTACTTATGTTTCTCATACCTTTTTATGTGGTTCTTTTCTTAGCCCTGATGATGGCCTGAACTTCAGGTCGAAACGTCGGCTAATGTAAAAAAAAATAGTATAATTTATTTTTGCCTTCTTATTTGACTGACCATCCCAACTATTCTTCTCTTCATTATTCACGACAGTCAACCATTTACCACCAATTAAAAATTTACTTTTCTCTTTTCTTTATTAAAGTTGTAGATAATTTTTTTTTAATTTTATTGTAAATTATTAATTTCAGATAAGAGACGGAAATAGTTAGTCAAGATGCCTGCTAGCGTCGTGATAAATTCTGATTGTATGACCCTCACGAGGTACGTTTTACAACAGCAAAAGAAATTTCCCTACGCCACCGGTGAGCTCACGCAGCTTTTGACTTCAATTCAAACTGCTGTGAAGTCTATCAGTTCGGCAGTGAGAATGGCAGGGATAGCCCAACTGTATGTTTGTCGAGTTTTTTTTTTTTTAGTTAATACTTTAAAAAGTTTAATTGAAACATTTGTGTATTTAAGTTACGGTATGGCTGGAACGACAAACATACAAGGAGAAGATGTAAGGAAGTTGGACACGTTATCAAACGAATTCTTTATCAACATGTTGAAATCTTCCTATGCTGTTTGCGCGATGGTAACTGAAGAAAATGATGACATTATATTTGTGAGTATGAATGTTATATTAACCTCCTTTCGCCCGTTCCAAACTAAAGACGTTGGTCTTGTCTCGAAACAAACAAAGTTAAAAAATTGTGTATGTTTAAATCCTGAACACTAGCGGAACCAGGATTTAATTTTGGAGGGGAGGGCTTCAACCAGAAATCTTTTTATACACACACATATATATATATATATATATATATATATATATATATATTATATATATATATATATATATATATATATATATATATATATATATATATATATATAACGATTATTAGTTTAAAAGAAGAAAAAAAATCCTAACTACCTGTATGAAATGTTGTTTAAATGATTCTTGAAGTCCTATTAAATGTAATTACAGGAACAATAATACTTTTAGAGACAATTTTTTCGTGGGACATTGTAATATTTTACCATTTTGAGGGGCTTCAGTCCGTTTTTTGTCTCGACTATCGTCCACACTCATTCTCATCTTCGCAGCCCGCCATGGAGAACATATTTTTGTGTGCAATGAATTCCTGCTTAGTGCTAATTACAGGTGAAAGAACGCAAAATGTAAACGTTGGTGGATGCGCAAAGTTCTCGCAGAAGGACCTAGGTTCGGTAATGAACTATTAAATAAATTACGACTGCCATTGCAATCTTCAATTGAATCGGTGAGTGCAGAAACCACCTCAGCCACTTATTTCTAATTTTTCCAGGAAAGAGAAAAAACGTCACAAGTCCTCCAAATTTTCAAATACTTGAACTTTTTTTTTCCTCTGTCGTAACATGCATTTATGTTGCTGTAGTGCAAAAATTACCTAATTTTGAAATAAATTAGGCTCAGGAAAATTAAAAATTTGATTCTGACTTATGCTGTTTCTGCACCCAACTGTTTTTTACAGACAGCTGAAAACTTGAAAAAAGGTAAACATTCATTAAAAGTTTAATATTTTTTAATTAACAATTTGTTTTACAACAATTTATATTAATTTCAATTTATTTTATAATTTAATTTGATTATAAGTGTAAATACGAAGGCTCGGGATTTTATATTACTTACAAACAGTACGAGTAATAATTAACATAACATAATACATTGTAGCATAATAAACATAACGTATTATAAAACAAAAAATATAATATTAATTACAAAAATAAAATTATACAAATAGTAAATGTATTTTTTTAATAAATAAGAGTATTCATTAAGAAGGTTGTGTGGAAATATTTCTATTCACTTCTGTAAATTTATTCATTTTGATAAACATCAATACTGCCGTATTCACTTTTACTGCTGTAAATACAGCCGTATTCACTTTTACAATCGTGAATACGGCTGTATTTATATTTACAGCCGTGAATACGTATCATCTGTATTCATATTTCTTTTTAGGAATATAAAGTATAAGTACCATAAATATAAATGGTATTCGTATTTATATTTTGAATATAAATATTCCCATCTCTGCTAGTCATGCGATCCAGGGGTGGGTGCAGAAACCATGTCAGTCACTGACTCATGTTAGTTCTGCTCTCAACGATCGGAAAAGATGTCATGTATTTACGGAACTACGCAACAGATTAACGTGGTTCTTGCACTCAACACGCATATTGCCTTTCTAAGCTTCTTTTCATCGTAAACGATTTTTTGCATTTTTTTTTTTTACTGATGTGGTTTCTGCACTCACCGATTCAATTGGTTTTAAAAACTTTCTCGTTAGACCACAAGTTTTCAAAATAACTGTAAAACTTTGTAAAATAACTGTAAACAGTCCGAGGCAGACTGTAACGTTTCTTGCTCCTCGATACGAGAGAGGCGTCCACTCTGTCAAAATGTTGCACAACATGTCTAACGTTGAATAATGTCCCCCATTCCGTTCGGGAAACTTTAGAGACCTGCGACTTTTGGTCTCGCAACAGGCCTGTAGACGGGGAACAAACTGAGGCATGCCTCAGAGGCCAAAATCGCGCAACATGTCTACTAGTGTGGACTAGGATTAATAGCCCTTGTTATTCATATCGTAAAAAATATATAATATATTTAAATATATAATAAAAAAAAGTCTTTTGTGAGTAGATTCCCTAAAATTAAAGTTTTCATTGAATAGCTGACAAAAAAACACACATTTTGAATCTTAAATTCTAAACCATGATGACAGTACCGAAATGCTTATCCATTTATCTTCTAATTTACTACGCAAAATAATATTTTCTAGGTAGATCCTGAACACCAAGGAAAATATATAGTCTGCTTTGATCCTCTCGATGGATCTTCTAATATTGATTGCCTTTGTCCTATTGGTTCAATATTTGCAGTTTACAGGTATGTTACTACTAGCAATCTTAATTTTTTATAATTGTAATTATTTTCTGAGAAGGAGTTAATTGGAGGGTGAGGTCAAATAAATACTAAATTAAAATATATTAATTATTTAATTTTGCCAACGTTTCGGCCCACTTTGCAGGTCGTCTTCAGAGCTACAAAAGATACAAAATATGTTGAAAATAAGAAATAAATATAAATAGATATAAAATAAGAAGAAGTTGTCAGATACAGAAATAAAAATATGATATCAGAGATATAGTGGATGACAATGTAGTTAAAATATTAAGTATTATATATGTAGAAGATACAAACAAATTGAAAATAAGTATGAATAAAAATAAAACTAAAGGAGAATATAGCATTGCGATTGCGATAAAAGATAAGGAATAAGTGTATAACAAACTAATAGAGATTACATTAGATAACTGTGGGTTAACAGATAAAGAAAATGAATGTTAACGAATAAATAGATTAAAAATTGAATAAGTATTGTTATAGTAAAGTTAAAATAAGAATACGATACAAATTTTATCTTATTCTTATTTTAACTTCAATTTGTTTATATCTTCTACATATATAATACTTAATATTTTAACTACATTGTCACCCACTATATCTCTGATATCACCTTTTTATTTCGGTATCTGACAGCTTCTTCTTATTTTATGTCTATTTATATTTATTTTTTATTTTCTACATGTTTTTTATCTTTCGTAGCCCTGAAGACGACCTTCAAAGTGGGCAAAATTAAATAATTACTATATTTTAATTTAGTATTTATTTAACCGCACCCCCAATTAACTCCTTCTCATATTATATCAACGGTCAACCATCTCTACATCATTATGTAATCATTTTCTTTCACGGAGTTGAGCTATGGGGCTCCACTAAACCATCGAATTCCTCTCGCATCCAATCCTTACAATCCAAAATCCTTCACAAAATCCTCAATGCTCCTTACTTTGTCACTAATAAAATTATCCATAAAGATCTTAATGTTCCTTATGTTTCAGATCTGGTCCAATCCAGATACCTATCCTTCCATAATAAACTTCAGAATCATCCCAACCCTCTCGTTTCTAACCTTGCTTCCTCTTCAATTCCTGATAACCCTCCGAGGCGTCTGAAAAGAAGATGGCCCCGTGATCTCCTAATGTAGTCATATCATTAGAGTGCTACGATTGGGTAGTTACTCAGCAAGTGTATTCATGTCATTATATCAATTATGTCCAAATTTACTTGATGTATTTATGTAATACAGTTGTAAATGTCATAAAGAAATTTTAAAAAAATTTCTTTCAAATTTTCCTAAGTTTTATTTCCCCATGATGGAATTATAGGCACAGAGTTTCTATTCTTCTTGGGGAGAGGCGATGGACCTCTCAAAAAAATCACAGGTGTTTATATTATATACAAAAATTATGGGTGATAATTACTTAATCTACATAATTATGGTAAAACAAAAAAAATAATCTTCTTTTTTTCTGGGAAGTTGTATGTTTTTCTTGTTATTTGGCAATGATGGCTTCCAATTAAACAACAATTGAATTTATTTGTTGTATTTCCAAATTAGATGTAAACATGTGTCTGTACAACCAATAATTGGTCGCCCTCTCTCTCTTTTTATTGGGGGGGGGGGGAAGAAGAGGCTATTACTCCACTTGTCTTCTCCTCCCCCAAGCCTACGCCTATAACCAAAAGTGTTGTTCCTGCAATCGGCATTTTATTTTTATAAAATAATAATAATTTTAAGGAAACCAGAAGGAGCTGTTAACGAAGCGAGTATATTACAACAAGGAAGGCAGATCGTGTCGGCAGGTTATGTATTATATGGAAGCGCTACATTCTGCGTTATATGTTTAGGAAAAGAAAAGGGTGTACATGGATTTTTACTGGATCCGGTAAGTCCTCTAATTAATATGGTTTAACTTACTTTAATTTTATTAAATATTAATAGCTGACAAAGCAATATGTAAATAATAATTAAATGATGGAGAAAATGCGCGGTACTAAGCAGGGATGCACACCCCCAAGATGGATGACCCTTGAACCTACACCCTTCTCCTTCCAAGATATTTTATTGCTCACCTTTTCATAAGAAGGGAGCAAGAGAAAGTAGAATTAGAAAAATCGTAGATCATTACAGTTGTTGTGGTATGTTACATGTTTCCAACTTGTTCCTTATTCTGTAACTTTTCATAACGAAAATTCATAACCCCATTGAAATGTGCTTCCCTAAAGAATTCAAAAACCTGTCAAAATATGCCTCCTCAAAAAAAAGTTTGATGACGCGACTTGCTCCATAAAACCCTTTTCTGGGCAACCCTGATTCTAAGCCTTTAACCAACCTGACCAGACATTCCGCTTTGTCAAGGTTTCCTGATGTCCCCATGATTTGCTGCAAACCCCGTTTTACCATCATTTCTCAACTCCTCTGCTAAAAATTAAAGAAAAAATCACTGCTAACTTTTAATTACATATAAAAATTGTCTGGTATGCCCATTCCCGCTACTTCCCTAACTGCTTCGGATAAAAGTCAAATACAAAATTAATAAAATAAAAAATTATAAAGTAAAAAAAATATATACATATATTTTGTTTACATTAGTAGTTTTTAATAGTTACAGTTTATATTTTTTTCTTTTATATTAATATTTTAATGATTTTATTGAGTATTAATACAGTCTGACACACTGAAGGGCATTGGTACTAGGGCTACAGTATTCCTTTACATAAAATGTACATAAAAAAGGGCAATAAATAATAATAAAAGGCTTAGCGAAGCTGGAGTTTCAATGCCGACACCACCAATCATTTATTACACACCCCCCTCCACCGTTCGCTGTTCCCCATAACAAATTGTCATCCCCGTAAAGCCGTATTGGTGCAGGCAGGGATGAAATAAATAATGATGAAGCAGATGAATTAGCCGGATAAGGCTCTGAAACCACTACCATAACACCCAAACCAATTCGAGGTGTTAGCATGAGCTTTCTCAAAACAAGAATTGGTGCGATTTATGATGAAGAAGCTAAGAAATATTGGTACTCCAAAACCAGATTTGTTCTAGGCTCTGTTCTGTGTAAAGAGAAACAACTAACCTGCTATTTAAGATGACCAAAAATTCTCTTAATAAAATTACAGCGATCTATACAGGTCACCGTAAACTGAATTATTACATGTTCAAACTTGGGATTACCTTTAAGTTGACCGAGAAGATGAAACTTCTTATCACATCACCTCTTAGTGCAACAGGTTTGCTAAGATTAGGCTTTTGTTATTTGGGAATCATGGAGTCTTCTGCGATAATTGGGGATCAAGTCTTCTGAGATTTGCCCAAATAATGTTCTGAATAAGAACAGCATTGAATTAGGGTGTACAAAAGGCCTGTCATGGCTGCATTGCATTTTGTCACAAAAAAGAATATATATATATATATATATATATATATATATATATATATATATAATATATATATATATATATATATATATATATATATATGTATAAATATTGTAACATCCCTCTTATATTTTAAAATAATAATAATAATATAACCTCAGAAGATCACTTTATACCCTTAGGATACTTCCAAAAGAAATAGGTTGTTAAATAAAAAACAAAATTATAAGAGTATTAATATATTTATTTATCTTAGGTGTGGGTTACTGACAATCAGATCAACTCAGACAAACTATTATTATTTACACTATTTATATTAAAATTAAACACTGGTTTAAAAATAAAGTCAAATATGAATTGACAAGCTAACCTTTATCATACATACAATGTTTCTTCCTTTGTGGCACTGAACTCATTTGTCTTCACACATTTTCTTATGTTCTGCCAAACACATATCCCAAAATGGTAACACTGTTCTTCCACTCAACTCAAGCCCTCTGGGAGATCCTCTCTCTTACAATTCCAAACAACTATTCTCCCTGCCAAAAAAGATCTAAGATGGTAAAACTATTACTGGGTTTTACCTACTGGAGCCAGGATAGGATATCTTCTCTTAACTTCTCTTCACTGCAGTCACACAACAACTGTTTGCCATTGTCGGTCTCCTCTTTGGGATTTTCCTTCTTGGGAAACTACAGAGTAGCCATTTTCTTTTCCCTGCACTAGCAGAACTAGATTAGCATGCCTTTTAATTGTTAAACATTAATTTATTAAATCATTTTTAACCACTTCCAATAAAGGTGTAGATGACAATATATATATATATATATATATATATATATATATATATATATATATATATATATATATATATATATATATATATATATATATGCTCCAATAGTTTTTTTTTTATAGGAAGCTGGAGAATTCATCTTAACAGATCCATACATAACTATTCCAAAGAAAGGAAAAATCTACAGTGTCAATGAGGGGAATTCTCACCTCTGGGAAGAACCTATAAAGGAGTACATAAACAGGAAAAAGGATCCTAAGGTATTAGTGATTTTTCATAATTTTCCTATGCATTGTGGATGTTAAATTCAACTGTGAGTGTGGGGATTCAAACATTTTTATTTTTGCAGTTTGGTACACCATATGACATGAGATATGTTGGTTCCATGGTAGCTGATATACACAGAACTTTGAAGTATGGAGGTATTTTCATGTATCCTGCCAACCCAAAAAACCCGAATGGCAAAGTTAGTATACAATTTTATTATTAATTTAAAATTTATAATTAATATCAGGTATAATTTAAAATGGTAAGAACATATTTCGTAGTAGCTAATCAAGAAAAACACTATGAAGGAGAGCAATGTTTTTAAATATACATTCTCCAGAGTACTTGGAGGAAAAACTGAAAGGCTGCTTTTACCTCCAAAATTGCTTATATTTTACACAACTAATAACACGATAAGTTGAAGTACCTCTATTCTACGTCACCACAGCATTTTCCTCTTGATTGTGGGGTTATGGCTGACTGTAGTGAATAATTGAAGAGAAGGATAGTTGGGGTGATCAATCAAATTGAAACGGTAAAAAATAAATAATTTTATTTATTTTTACATTCGATGACGTTTCCGCCCGAAGTTCAGGCCTTCATCAAGGTTGGGAAAAGAACCAGATCACAATAGGCATAATAACATTGAATAATACAGAATTAAGATTAAAAAGGTGATAGGTATAGACTAATCATTATCAGTCTATACTTATTAATATACTAATAATTATTTGTCTATACCTATCACCTTTTTTAATCTTAATTCTGTATTATTAAATTTCTATTCAATGTTATTATACATATTGTTATCTGGTTCTTTTTGCAGCCCTGATAAAGGCCTGAACTTAGGGCCGAAAAGTCGGCGAATGTTCATTCATTCTAGAACTCCTTACTCTACATCCACCATTTACTCTTTAAATATAAGAATAAGATCTCAACCTATTGATCTATATATCCCCTCACATAAAACCGCTTCCTTTAGCAAACCTTTAATCATTTGTGTTAGTTCCTTTTGGAATTCTTTGCCCATCTCTATTTATCAATTCTCAGCCACGTGTTCTTTTAAACAACACTAATTCCTCTGACTACTTCATATTCATACTACCGCATCAATGTAACCACTATTTACTTCTATAATACCAATTACTACTAAAATATAACTTGTAGGTATTATTTTGTAAATATATTACCAGACTAATGTGCTCGATGTCTGAACATTGTAATTATCCAAATAGGACCTGAGTTTTATGTTAAGTTTATTATTATATTATTTTTAACAATATTAAACATAATAAACTGTGGGGTTGTTCAGTTTTGAAGCCGACTCTGCCATTTAATTTATTTCTTATGTTATATCAGCCTTGTATAGACTCTCGGTTCAGGAACTCCCCGTTATTTTCATTGATAATAAAAAAAATAAAATAAAAAAACCAGGCCCAAAGACCCTTCAAGACTTGTAATGCTGTATTTATTTTTTATTTTTTGAACCTCATCTAACAAGAAGAAAATTTTATGGAAGAATACTATCTAAGTTGTTAAAGTATAGAAACTGTTTTTCTTTCCATGATTACATACAAAGCTAAGGTTATCAGAAGATTGAAGTTCTATGAAAAGAGATATCTGAATTGAAGTGCAAGTTGCGATGTAAATAAATAAAATTAAAAAAAACTGGTTGAGCGTCATGGAGTTTGATTCAGGCAGTATAGGAAAACTCTTCCACACTTCTTAAGCAGCAGACAAATAATTATAATTCTGAATGAATTGTTTAATAATTATTTAAAATTAAATTAAAAAATAACCACCAAAAAAAAAAGTGCAAGTTGTGATGTAAATAAATAAAAGATTGTTTTATTTTTTGACTTGACCAGTATTTATTTTGTCACTCACAAACTTTGTTTTCTCATTTATGCAAAGTAATGGTGCATTTGTTATATCCTCCATATTCTTTATTATTATCTGAAGAGCTACATACTGCTTGCTGTTATCAATCATCAGTACAGGCTTTATATTTTTTTTAGTGTCATTAATTTTGTCTGTTCAGAATTTTTTTTATTGTTCCTATCTTTTTTCCATTGCAATTGAACAATATAGATTATATATGTATAGTTTTACAATTAATGTTTTTAAAATATTTAATATTAATGTATGTAAACAATTGTTTATTTTCTATATATGTATATATATATATATATATATATTTTTTTTTTTTTTTTTTTTTTTTTTACATATAATATTCTGTCACGGGGACAATAATTATATTGATAAATGAACACATTCACACCGTATACACACAAAAAAAAAAATTAACAAAAGTAAAATGATAACTAAATAATAATAAATAAGAACTATATACAATAAAAAATAAAATAACCTAAATATAAGTAAATTAAAAACATAAAAATACAGTCATACCTATATACAATATATTCAATCGGGGGGAGAACCCAAATCCCTGCGCTAGTCTCTCAACCGCCTCACTGGTGCTAAAGCCGGTGGAGTTTGAGCGAGAGCGCTTTAGCCACATACACTGGAGTGGAGAATCTGGCCATTGCCAGAACTCCAAAATAAATACTATAAAATATCTCTGGGCCACTGCCGCTTCAACCTTCGAGGAGGATCGTAGGGATGAGTGGAACTAGATAGGGATTGGGCTAGGGGATTTGGATGATTGATAAGGCTCTGATGGAATTCGGAAAATTTTTCAGGGATAAGGTCAAGTACAAATGGGATATTAAGGTCATGATTTAGGGTTTCGTTGGTTACATAGAACAGAGCATCGCCTATTGTTTGGAGGACTTTAGATTGAAAGGATTGGATGCGTTTGATGTTAGAGAATTTTGCTGTCCCCCAAAGTTCAAGTCCGTAGGTCCAAATAGGTTTCAGAATTGTCTTGTATATCAGTAATTTATTGTCAATTGAAAGTTGACATTTTTTGGTCAATAGTCTGTATAATTGGCTGTATCGTCAGTTAAGTTCTTGTCTTTTAAGTCTAGTATGTGGGTTCCACGTTAGAAAATCCACGTTGGAACATATATTAAGCTACTGTAGCTTAATATATGTGTTAGTGGACGGTGCTAAGACTGTCACTGTGTCCCTGGCCTGATCGAAGCTCTATTTTTTTAGAATTCTAGCTTTGAAGAGGATCCCATCGTTGACTTATAAAAAGAAAATACCGGGATCGAAACGTCGAAACATAGAGGAAATGAACATTCAGTAGTTTATTAAATAATTAATGTGACCTTATTCCCAATTAAATAGTTATGTTTAAATTTAATACTCAAAGGTCGAATAAGGAAAAGTTGTAAATATATAAATAATTTTTTTTTTTTTCCTTTTAGCTAAGATTATTATATGAATGCAATCCTATGGGATTTATAATGGAAGAAGCAGGAGGAGCAGCAACGACAGGCAGAGTTCCGGTGCTAGATGTTGTTCCAAACAACATTCATCAGAGATGCCCGTGCTTCCTAGGATCCCTTGATGATGTAAATGAATTTCTTGAAATAATGAGAAAACAGGAAAAAAAAATTCAGCAACCATAAATAAGATTTATATGTTTGTAATTCTTGTCATTCCAAATATACTTCATAAATGAATAAAACTTCGAATAAGTTATTAGAATTAACTCGAATTTTCAAGTATCATCACACTAGTTATTGATCAGATTATTTTAATTTATTCATCTCAATGAATTATTTAGATGTGGTCTGGTTATCAGTTTCCATCAAGTTTTATTCAAAATATCTTTCAGATTATTGTAATATACTAAATTATAGAGATTACTCAGTAAATTTTGAAATCACGTACATGGTTTACTTTTTTCTCATCCTATAAAATTAAAAAAAAAAATGTTTATTTCTTCATTTATTCATTATTGTTGCAACAGATGCACGTAGCGGTCCTTGGCCTGCTTAATTTCCTTTGTCCAGTCATCCCTGTTGGCTGCACAACTGATGGATATTCCATTTTTTCTCAAACCTTTTTTCACATATCCATCTCGCCTTCGGTCTTCCTCTAGACCTAATTCTCTCTGGTTTCTCATGATAAAGCTTTCTTGCTGTCCTCCCTTTATCCATTCTCTGGACATGTTTCAACCATTTCATTCGCTGAACTCGAGTGAATTGGGAGATAGACAGAATTCCTTCATTCATACTTACCAAAAATGCGAAAAATCAGTGAAGTGGTTGCCAAAAAATTGAATTATAGGGCTATGATAAACTGAAGAAAGAGTAACAATATCTGGTGGCATCGCTTCCTATTTCGATTTACTATATTATATTTATAAAGTAAGAAAAAAATACATTATAGTAAGTATGATTCAGTCATTATCAGATTAATTTTTATATTCATAAATATTTTGTGGAAAAAGTAATTAATATAATAATCTATAAAGTAGGTATGTGAACTAAACAGTTTTTTTCTTTTCCAGGAAATATCTTATAAGGATATGTACAGATAAAATAAAATAAAAAGTATATATAATTAATGATATGGTATTTATAAGTTAAGTTACATAAACAATGAATTGTTTTCTATTCACATGCTCTGATTTGCAATGTGTTGCATCGGTTGGAATGGCACTATTTACAGTGTTGAATTCAACCATTTAAGGAATTCCTTTATGTTTCTTATGACTGTGAATTAAAATATATACTAGGAAATCATTATAACTTTATATACCTTCGCTACTTCACTCTTGATTATCAGTATGTCTATACCATTTCCAACATATACTTCTTACATCTTGTCTCATCTCTAAGACTATTGAAGAAAGGAGCCGAGAAATTTCTCTGTAATTAAGAAACAAGGTATGTACTGATAAAATTTTAAAGTATTGTTAAACTTAGAGGAGGTAATATATGCTCAGGGGAGGAGGGGGAGAGAGAATGGAGGTCCATAAGTGCAAAATAATTAGTTAAGTATCATAAAATTGACGATATTAAAAAATAAAGATATCTATATTAATATATAATAACAAAATTTAAAAGAAAATTTGAAAAATTTAGGTTTACAAGGATTACTTGTCTTTTAGCTAAACATACTGTCGTAAAATTTAAGAATAGTTAATATGTCTTAAACATCTGAAAATTCATTCTCAATCTCCATATCTAAACCCCATATAGCACTTATGTGACGAAAAAAAAAAACTTTCCTGTGAAATTCTAATCAAGTTTAAAGAATTATTATTCGTGTGATTTGGAACATATAAAAGAGATAAATATGATTAAAAGTTGAAGTATTACTTTAAATACCCTTAATTGTTATTACTTATATTTTCAACTGTTAAAATTCTCTTGGATGGTACTGAAATAAGATTTATCTGATTCTTAGAAACACTAAAATCCAGGATTTCATTTTGAGAGGGCTTCATCATGAAAGATTTTTTTTAAAAATATAACGATAATTACTTTGGAAGAAAAAGAAAAATTAACTACCTATTTTGGGGGAGAAGCTTCATCCCGGAAATCCCCCCCCCCCCGCCTCTCCGTAGATCTGCCTGTGCTTAGAAACTAAGCAAAAGCAAAAACTGATAAATAAAATAACAAATATTCTCAGACAGGTGATTTTCTATGTTAAATTAAGAAAAACAGTGAATTTTGAATTTAGACAAAATCTTCAACCTATCCTTGTAAAAATTGAATCTAGCTTTCAGTCCCATAATCATCAATGTACAAAGAACAACAAGGGGTGTGACCTAAACTTAAAAAAAAAAAAATGATAACAGTTACGAAATGAATTGATAACGTGAAGGAAGTTATATAATTAATTATATCAATACTATAAATTTTGAGAGATGCAGACATTGAAAAAAAAATTATCAAGGGTCAACAAAAGCTGATAGGAAGGTGAAAGTTGATGATTCATTTTTTTGGTCTGAAGGACAATTTTTAAGTGTTGGAAACATATCAATAGTATTTAAAAAGCTGGGGGAGATAATGTTTTTAAAGTTTTTTTTTTTTAATTTGTAATTGAAATTTAAAATGAGAACTCTATTTTCAAATAAATTATGAGATTGTTCACCCATTTGCATTAGTTGATAAGAAGGATTTATATGTCCACCTATAAATTTTTATGGCACAACTAAAATATTTTTCGCAACTTCCAAAAAGGTAATATATTTTTTAACACTTGTTCTTTTATTTTTCTTATTATTTAAATAAGCAAAAAAGCTATTTATTAAATCAACTCATAGCAGAAAATAGGTAGTTTCCTTATTGTGAGTCACGTAATTTCTTCCCATCTTTAACTTCTAGAAAATGCTTTTAGCAGAAGAAATCCTGCATAGGCGAAGAATGCGAGAGGGGGGGGGGGAGCGCGATCTGCTCCTTCCCTCCAATAAAAATAGAGAAGGGACGGAGAATGTCGTTTCGCCCCCCTCCTTAATATTTCGAAGAAAAAATAAATCAAAATCGATAACAATTAATCTACATGAATGAATAAAATATGCAAACTAAAATCAATTAAAAAAAATATTATAAGTCGAATAAATGGCTTTGCTAAGGTCTAGAAGCAGATACGCAAGTATTTTACCGCGTCCAACGTTCCTATTATTGAAATTTTACTCTATATTCAAAGATAATTATATTGTTTAGTTTATATTCTTTCCAATAATTATATTGATTATGTTAGTTATCACTGATAATTTTTATACAAAATATAAACTCCCGAGACTTTTTTGTTGTTTAGAGTAGGTCCATCGCCCCCATTAACCAGAATAGAAAGTGTAATCCTTCATTCTATGGAAACTCTTATTTAGTATTTACAAAACAAAAAACAAAGCAGCTTATTGAAAAAAAAGTAAATGAAAAGAGCGAAACGCGTGTTACAAAACGGAACTAACTGAAATTTATTTCAGTCGAATCTTCTTCAAAAAATATATTTTTTTAAAATAAATTATTTACCATTAATTATTTTATTTTTCATTAATTTTTGAAAAATATGAATTTAAACTTGATAATAAAAATTAAATAAACTTTGAACGATTAAGAAAACAGGGAAAGAAGTGTTTTGTTTTCTGTTTTAAACTCAATGATTATAAATATGACTTATTATGAATGTATTTTTCAATGTTAAATCAATCTATTTTAGCGATATTCTTGTGATTTTAATAAAAAAATTTAGTTATATAGTTGTGTACCCGCGTTATATTTTAATCACACATGTCTGTTTCATAAACATGAGTGCCTGTTTCATATACATGATGAAGCGCTAATCCATTGATGGATTTCCTATTCACATAAATGATTTTTACACTGTTTTGGAACTTGCCCATACTGAACAATATCCGAAATAATAATAAAATTAGAATAGATTGCCGTTATTGAAAGTTATTATGAGCTTTTATTAACAAAAATTTAAAAATTGAAAAACCTGATAGTGAAAAGTAAACAAACAATAAATATAAATACTGAAATATTTCGGAAAGCTTAAATAGATATAAAATTATTAAAATAAAGATTATATGAAGGAATAGATCTCATCATTATCAATTCATGGGCAACTATATAATAGTAATAATACTATTTAATTTAATTTAGTTATTTAATTAGTAATAATTATATTCATTAGCTTTTTAATATAACTTATTAGCTTTTTAACCAAATTATTACTTTTTTTTTCTAAAATGTTATCAAATACAATTAGGTCCTTAATTATCTTAATTTTATTTGGAAGCCCATTCCACATACAATTCCATTTAAATACGCACCGTTAAAATCTATTTTTTTAAAAACAACGTTACTTGTTTTGAAGTTTTCCCAAAAATCGCTGTTTCAAATAATAATTGAAATAAACTATTTTCTACAAAATTAATTATTTAAAAGTAATTCCAATATTCCTTCGAAAAAATACAGTATCTAACGAGCTGAGCACTAGCGAATCCAGGATTTAATTTTGGGAGGAGACAGCCCGAAAGCTTTTTTTTTTCATATATATAGCGATAATAATTTTGAAAAAAAAGAAGAAAGAAACTAACTACCTCTATGATATGGTGTTTAACTGATTCTTGAAGTTCTATTAAATGTAATCACACAAACAATTTAAGAGATAGTTTTTAATATTTTTTTCTATAAAAAATTGTCATATTTTACCATTTTGGGGGGAGAGGCTTCAGCCCGAAAGCTTCCCCCCCCCTCCAGTGGCTTAATAATATTATTATAATTATTATTATATTATTAAGCCACTGTATTCCCCCCCTCGTAAACTCGCCTGTGGAGGTGAGTACACAAACAATATCATCTTAAAGTATTATTGCAACTTTTTTATGAAATAATAATATTTCTCCTTAAAAAGTTTTACCCGATCTAATATATTTCGTTCGCTTCGTATCTCTATGGAATACTTTTTTTATGGCAACTAGTAAATGTCAAACTATTTTGGTGATAGTGACATAAGGTTTTGTAATATCTAATATTACATTGCCAGTTGGATCTTTATTTATTTTTTTTCCAAGTCGTCACAGTGTTAATTGTTTCTTAAATAAGTTCAACGTAAATAATTAGAAAGTATTTACCTAGAAAGTAAAACCACCTGTTATCACTCCTTATCAGGAATTGTGATAAGGGGTTGTGGTATTATTGTTGGTCTGTGTGTATATATATACATATATGTATTTGGATTATATATTTATTTGTTGAGTTGGAATTTGTAGATTAGCTGCCCAGCCTCTCAAATGAGATAATTTCTTATATCACTGAGAAGGTCAAAGGTTAAAATTTCTATATCAGGAAGGATATTGCTTCAATTTTAGTTCATTTATTGTTTGGGCTCCGAGATCTTCTTGGAGAAATTTACTATAATGACATCCACAAAAATAATTGATTCCGACTGCATAACTCTTACAAGATATGTGTTGGCGCAGCAGAAAAAATGCCCTGACGCAACAGGCGAATTAACTCAACTTCTGAATTCAATTCAAGCATCTGTGAAAGCTATAAGCTCTGCTGTCAGGAAGGCTGGAATTTCACAATTGTATGTTTTTATATCATTTACTTTCGTTAATTTAGAAGTATAGTTTGAATTAATAACATATTATACCTAGTACACTTATAATATACTTATAATCGTTCAATAATTATAAATATATTGATTATTTATTTTCTAATGTTAGAATATTTAAATCCCTTGCGTATCTTTGTTAATTTCAGGTATTAAATACATCATTTACTGTGTTTTCTATCAGTTGTATTTTTACGATCACTTAGCCAGGACCATCAGTAAATTCTGATTTAGAGATTAAAATGTGTAACTCTCTATGATTATATCTTTCACTTTCCTTGTTTTTTCATAGACCTCTCAAGTTCTAAATTGATTTAATTATACTACAAACAAACTATTGAACATTAGACAAATTTTGTATTAGTAATTAAAATAAAAATTGTAATAACTTTATACGTTAATTAATCTGTTAAAAAAAAAATTGTCATTTCCAAAGATGTATTTTAAAAATCATTCTAATAATAAGTTCCATATAAAATATCACTTTTTTTACTTTATTTTATTTTCTCGTTGTTCTAATGACACTAGTTCCCTTCTAATTCCTACAACTTCTTGTTCACTTGTTTGGCATAATTCTAGTGAAGAATTATAGTTGGGACTAATGATCCAATAATATTTTATTGGCATAGGCTCTAATAAAATTATCTCTATTCCAATTCAGAAAATGTACGCAAATTGGAAATCATGCTCCTATTTTTCATATTGAAGCTAATGTTTTTAAAAATAATTCTTGATGAAATTATATAAAAGATTATTATTAGAAGTGTACAATATTGTATAAGGTACCTTTATACCTTAAACGATATTAACTTAAATAGCTTATCAAAATTATCCTGTTACAAGATAATACTGTTTTTCAAATTCATTCCTGGTATAAATGATTTGTCCAAATTAAATGGCTTCTCCCTTATCAGGGCTTAACTGTTTGATATTTAATGAATTATTCACTGTTACTGTAGTATTTTAATTTATTATTGTTTTAATTTCTTTTGATAGTTTGGATTTAAAATATAAGGAATTTTATGTAGGTATGGGATGGCTGGTAATACTAATGTGCAAGGAGAAGAAGTGAAGAAACTGGATGTGTTATCGAACGAATTGTTCATAAATATGCTTAAGTCCTCTTACACTACCTGTTCACTTGTTAGTGAAGAAAATGAAAACATTATACCAGTATGTACCAATATTCAATTATTATTTAAAATATTTTGAAAATTAATTATCTTCTTAAATTTATTGCTCTAACGCCCTTCCATTTTGGCTTCTTCTGGTTAGATAGTGTTGCATCAAACACAAGGACCTGTCTCATACCTTTAAAATGTTTAGAAATTTTAGGTGTTTGTGGTCTATGGTAAAAAAAAAAAAATAAATATATATATATATATATATATATATATATATATATATATGTATAATTAAGAGGTAATTAATGTTAGATTACATGTGGGAAATGCTTATGATTTTTTATTATCAAATTACTTACCTTAAGCATACTGTACTGATACTTAAAAATTATAATTCCAAAACTATCATCCTTCCTACTGTTGTTTATGGATGAGGAATTTACATAAAGTGTCTCTTCATATATTTATATAATTTATATACACGCTTATACAGGGTGTTTCAGGGTTAATTATCCTAACTGAAAATATGAATTAAGAGAAAAAGTTCCTATAGTGTTGTGTCCATTAACGCTTTGTTTAGCAGATATTAGATAGATAAGACATAATACTAACATGACCTTTCTCCACGACCAGATCGATGGGGGAGGTAGGGGGGAGGGAGAGCTTTGGGACTAAAGCTCTCTCCCCCAAAATGGTGAAATACAACCATGTTTTTTGGAAAGAAATTATCGCTTAAAGTATTATTGTTCGTGTAATTACATTTAAAAGGACTTTATGAATCACTTAAACACCATTTGATGTAGTTTGGTAGTTTCTTTCTTTTTTTCCAAAGTAATTGTTGTTATTTTTATGGAAAAAAAACCTGTCGGGCTGAAGCCCTCCCCTCCCTCACCAAAATTAAATCCTGGATCAGCAACTGTGCATTGCCTATATTTTTGTATAGTTAGAAAAAGAAGGTCATCTTAATATTCTATCTTATCTATCTAATATGTTATCTTATCTATCTTAAACAAAACATTAATGGACATATGTTTAGGATTTTTTTCTTGTTTTGAAATCCTCAATCCATATTTTCAGTTAGGACACATATGACCCTATTATGACCCTGAAACACCTTGTGTATAAAGAAAAGAACATTTTAATCATGCAAGTCAACTTAGATAACTGAATAGAAATAGAAAAATCACTAGGGTGAAGTTAGACGACTACACAGTGATAAATTTCCTGAACTTCCTCTATTAAAAATAGTCAAGGTGATAGCAATAAAACAAATAAAATAGGCTTGTAAAGTTGTGGAACTTCATGATGGATGAATCTCTAAATAGTTAATAAGCTCTCATTTAATGGAAAGCATTGGAGGGGTGCACATAAGTTTGGAGAGTGGTCTGTGAATGGTTTGGCATGGTTGATATTTATACAGTGATTGTTGGCATTTAACTTTCGAGTTCCCCATACTTTTTATTATTAGAGATATTTTTATTGTCTAACATATGTTCCTCTTGAAATGAATGAATTATCTCTGGCTATAATTTATTTTATTTAAAGGTGGATGCTGAGAGGCAAGGCAAATATATTGTATGTTTCGATCCATTGGATGGATCTTCAAACATTGACTGCCTCGCTTCCATTGGCTCAATTTTCGCAGTATTCAGGTCTGTCAATATTTTAATTCATGTTGTTGTGTGTGATATTAAATTAATCTGTTATAAACACCGAATTTAAATTATATGCATTATCCAAGTTTATAGAAGATGAGTTGCTCCTTGATTTAATTGCTTAATTTTTTAATTTTTAGGAAACCAGATGGGCCTCTGCAAGACAGCGGAGCTTTGCAATCAGGAAATCAAATTGTAGCTGCTGGTTATGTATTGTATGGAAGTGCAACAATGTTTGTGTTATCACTTGGGAAAGGGAAAGGTGTTAATGGCTTTATGCTTGATCCGGTATGTCATTGTCTATTATTTGAAAATATAAAATATTTAAATTTTTCATCAACAGGCTTCATTTTATTGATAAATTTATCTTGTTGATATTCAAAGTTTCTAAGAAAAAATAAGAATTTTAGTAGATCATTATTATTATTGTTTTTCATTTTTGAATATAGGCTATTGGAGAATTTTTGCTTACTGAACCCAACATGAGGATTCCAGACAAAGGCAATATATACAGTATTAATGAAGGTTATTCTTATCTTTGGGATGATGCTGTTGCTGAATATGTCTCAAGGAAGAAGAATCCACAGGTTAAGTTAATGTTTTATTTATTTATATATATATATATGCAATCTATTATGTTATGTTATATACAACAAGAATCACATCAATAAATCGAACATATTTGTAAAATATTTTTTATAATCTAAAATACAATGATAATCTCAGGAATATTAATCCAAAAGTAGATTAATTCATCTCATCATAATAAATCCTTCTTTTTTAATATATTTGAGTTTTCATTGTTGTTTTTATTTATCAATAACAATATATATATTTCTAACATGTATATTTCTTATTTTAGTTTGGAAAACCATATGGATCAAGATATGTTGGTTCCATGGTAGCTGATGTCCACAGAACATTGAAATATGGTGGTATATTCATGTACCCTGCGAACAAGACTTCTCCAAATGGCAAGGTAATTATATTTCAGTGCACCTCTTTCAAAATAACATTCAAATCCTGTCTTCCAGGCGTTTAATAATAAAAACCTTCTTTGATAAGCAGTATTTAAATTTTATGTGATCTATTACATACAATATAAATGCAGAAAATCCAGCAGCTTCCCTACTCACAACTAATTAATTAAGATAATAAGAAATTTACGTATTTTACTTATTGAATTACTTTGCATACAATTCAATTATTTTTCACATTATGCAAATAAATGAAAAAATAACCATTTATGAGAAATTATTTTTTTGAAATTGTTTTCCTTTTAAACTTTTAATTAAAGTCCTAATCAAATGATTTATTTTATTTCTCTGATTTTGTTAAATATTTGAACATCATATGTATAACTAAATGGATAAATAAAAAACTTCACTTCTTTAATTTTTCAGTTGAGATTAAGTTTGGATATATTGTTCATTGAGGCATCTTTTAGCACAATATACATACTGCACAAATAATATTTTGGTTAATTATTTTTATTGAGTTTTATTTTGAAAAATGTTAGGCTTTTTAATTTTTGAAGTTCATTATAACTTAGGCAAATCAGTTACTACTACCTAAAATCATTTCTGAATTGTTAAAATCAATCTAAGCTAGGCAGAAAAAAAGGAAAAAGTAAGATTAAGTCATTTTATAAATTTTGAAGATTTTGATTATTATTTATGAAATAAAGTACTCTGTAATATAACTTAATTGAAACATATCTGTAATTATACAAATCCCTTGGCTCAAGATTTTTCATTTAAAAAATCACAAAAAAATCGAATGCCAGGCTCATTTTGGATTTAATCACTGAAAACCAATCCTAATATTTGCTAAAAAAGAAAAATTATTGAAGCTGTTCCTTAATGGAACGCATTAGGTTCTGAGATGTCATATTCTTTTTCTATTTCCTTTTTTCAATGGATATTCAATTTGTTTAAATCTTCATCTGAAATATTGAGAATTTTGAAAAGATGGGAAAGCTATAAAAAGTTTTCTAAAAATGTAAATATATATTTTTTAAATTTCCAAATTATACTTATATCCAGACTCTTAAGAAGATGAAAATCCGTTAAAAAAAATTAATGAAAATCCTCTTAAAAAAATGAAATCCGAAGACAAGTTTGGGAAATAAGGTGGGTACTCTTGACGTGGTTCATTGAATTTGTTAACAGTTTATTTCGAAATTGGGTGTGCAGCATTGTTGTTCAGGATTATAATACCCTTCCGATTTATCAGGTATTTTGAAACTTAAATGTAAAAGAAGAAATAAATTTCAATGGATAATAGACTATTACTTACTGTTAATAGTTTTCAGGTAATTACAGTAGACCATAAAATCTACAAAATGAGTTTTGAACATAATAATGATTATTACATCTGAAATAACCCTATAATTATTCTTCACTCATCAAAGTAAACATCGTCTCAACTATATGTTTAACCAACTTGGATTCATCTTTTTTCTCTCCTTTGGAACTCCCTTCTTTTTTCAAGCCAATGTTTGATCTGTGTTGTGGCCTGAAGAAATTGTGTTTAAAGGTCAATCGTCATTAATTGGTTCATCTAATGTCACTTATTTTTTTCAGCTGAGATTGATGTATGAATGTAACCCGATGGCTTTTATTATTGAAGAAGCCGGTGGATTGGCGACTACAGGTAAAATTCCTATATTGGATGTAGTCCCAAAGGGAATTCATCAGAGATGCCCATGTTTTCTTGGTTCCAAAGAGGATATAAAAGAACTTCTTGGCATTATTGAAAAACATCAATAAGTTCCTTGTATAATATTTTATATATTTATAATTTTTAATCTCATTTGTATATGAAACATATTACAAACTATATTTTCATACTTGGTTGTTGTTTATTACTGTTCCATTCCGAGAACTATTTTATTGGTTATTATGTATATAATAGTTTTATGAAAATAAGACATTTTGCATTCAGCTTCATGACGAAAAGCTGCTCAATACATTTTATGTTCGAAATCTCGAGAGATATGCATGCTATCCAGTATTACATCGAGTTGAAGTGTTCTTCTATTGCTGTCAGTACTTCCTAGCAACCTTTATGTACCACGTCATTAGAACTCATCAACCCTTCTTTATTTTTCACAGCTTACAATTTAAATATTCCGTTCGATCCCGTCCCACTATATCTCATATTTCTCACTTCTATTCTTCTCCTCACCGAACTGCTGCGTTCGACAAATCCTTTGGAATTCAAGCTGTCTCCTTCTGGAATTCTATCCCTCCTGATATTCGACAATCACAATCAGTTTCCTCTTTCAAACCTCTCCTCTTTCAACACCTACTTCTTTCCCAATCTCACTGACTACAAATTATACCTATTTAAGTACTCTCAGAAACTATTTTTGGTTTTTTGTGTTATTTTAGTTTTCTATGTTTGTTTTATAAGTTGGTATGTTTTTCTTTGCTTTTTCTCTCTCTTTCTGTTTTTTTTTTCTCTACTGTTTTAACTATTATTGTAAATATTTAATTTATTTATGACCACACAGTCATGCATTCTGTACTTATAATTTGTTCTGAAGGGACAACAGTCCGAGAATAATAAAATGTATTTTCATTTAAAAAATATATTTTCATTTTATTTCATAAAATTATATATTTTTTATACTATAGATTTTGATTAGATAATTAAATGTAAAATCTCTGAACCAGTAATCAGGTAATTTGTTGATAAAAGCAATAGTAAGCAAGTAATAGCAATTGTAACCAATGACTAGAGTAACTAGAAAAACATGTTTTGTTTTTTAATGAATTTAAGTAATTTAAGCAAAACATCTTAACATGTATATTTCCTCTCTCCCTCCCTTTCCCTCCCCCCAAAAAAAAACAACTATTATTTAGGAAGTATAATTTGGATGTATAATGCATGAAAAAAATCTTGTATTATTGTTAGCAAAGTTATTTCATAATGTAATGTTTCTTTCCTTTGCCTTTTTAGAACCAGATTAAGATATCCTTAAACCCAAGGATAACATTTCTGAGTGGGTCATATTTACCAATTTAAATAAACTAAATTATAACCTCAAGATTATAGTCCCTGGTACAGACCCCTTTTTTTGAAATTATTAACATCAGGCTGAAACTTCGTAAATAGAGATACTCATTTGCTTTCCACTTTAATGGTAAGATAACTTGAGCACAATGTTGAGAAAAAAAGTGACCTTAAAAAATATTGAGCCTTTTGGAGTGACCTACACCCCCAAATTGTCAAAATAACATGGTTATATAGGTCAGACAGCTCAATATTTTTGAAGGCCTCCTTTTTTCTCAACTTAGTGATTAAGTTATCTTACGATTAAAGTGGAAAGCAAATGGGTATTTACGAGTTTTTAGTACCTAATTGAATAGACAAAGTTTGCTGACCTCCAGATTGAAAACGCTCCAATTCCAATAATTTTCGTGAATAAAATATTTGTAGGTTACGATGAGAGGAAGCTATTTACGAAGTTTCAGCCGGATATTAATAATTTCATAAAAAGGGGTCTGTACCACGGACTATTAGTCTATGAAATCAAACTCCAGATCTTGAAAGTTTTTCTAAATTAAAAGAGTACCACAGGCGGATCTATGGGGAGGGGAGGGGGAGGCTTTCGGGCTGAAGCCCCCTAAAATGGTAAAATATAATTATGTTTTACAGAAAAAAATATTAAAAACTATCTCTTAAAGTATTCTTGTTCGTTTAATTACATTTAATAGGACTTCAAGAACCACTTAAACACCATTTCATACAGGCAATTAATTTCCTTCTTTTTTTTTCAAATTAATTATCGTTATATGTATATGAAGAAAAAATCTTCCGGGCTGAAGCCCCCTCAAAAATTAAATCCTGGATCCGCTAGTGAAGAGTACTATTAGCTTTATAACCCAGTTTCGTAATTGAATGACCATTTAATTTAAGAGATGGGTATTATTGTTGAAAATAATGGGAATTGAGGGTTTGCATATTTAACCAAACCAATAGTTCAGGACTAATTGATACACAAAAAATATCTGACACTAGTTTCATCACATACCTCTCACTTACTTCTAACTTAGATATTAATTTAAAAAAGTATAGTTTTTTTCATGTCATTATATACATTATGTTCAAATTTACTAGATGTATTTATTTAATACAGTTGTAAATGTCTTAAAGAAATAAAAAAAAAAAAAATATATATATATACCTTGGCCAGATGTTAAAGGCATAGAAACTATTGTAGTGCTATTATTATTATTATTATTATTATTTTCAGACAAAAAGATTCATTGCCAAAAACTGATTGTTTTTTATTTTCCATGTGGCAATACACTGCGCCTTCATGAAGGTCTATTGTGTGTCATCCTAAACTCTATTAAAACAGGTCAGATGCCTTTGCGAATTTGTTAATACTAATAGGACCTATTAGTTCCCTACACTTAGGGTCAGTGATACGATCACATCCAAAGTGAAAGTTTCGCAGTCTCACCAAATTATCACATCTGCAAATAATGTCATAGGCTGTTTCATCCTTCAAGCCACACAACCTGCAGGTGGAAGTCTCACTTAAGCCCCCCAAGTTAAAGAGATGCTTAGTGAGTTGGCAGTGACCAGTGTACAGTCCTATCACACACGTAATGTTCCTCCTGTTCATTAGAAGAAGTGATTTACTTCTCTTGTGACAGGACTGTAATAGGAACAACTTTGAATGAGTTTGTTTACTAGTCTATACAGTCAATATAGCCCATAGTCTTCCTAGCAAGGCTTTCTCATTACCTAGAATGCCTGAGTGTCCAGGCACCCATTTTGATCCATGGTATTCTGCAGATACCGGAATAAGTGGCAGTCGCTTGGAGGAGCTCGGTCTGGTGAATAGGGAGGATGGGGCAAAAGGTCCAAACTTGTTGACAATTGACATCGGGGAGAGAGTGAGGAACACAAACATCAAACCTGGAAACGTAACTGAGCTTGTGCAAATAGTTTTCTAGGCTTGCTTGGACACATGTAAGGCCACAGCAATCTCTCGCACTGATTGGGCGGAACTTTGATCAACATTGGCTTTAACATTGCTTGTTTCAATTTCTTGTGAGGAATCAAATGTTTTTTATTTTTTCCCTTCATTCCCTTTTAGACAACTGTTTTTTTTCCTCGACTATGGGGAGAGGGGATGGGGTTAATTCATTAATTTCTGTGTTAAAAGCGCCTTCGATACTGGGACTTGAATTAGTACTTTGAGTTTATCACAGATTTGCCAGGTAACGCGTGTGTTCTGCACATGCGTTCGCCCGCTCGTTCACCCGTCATTTCCGAGTAGTCGACCAGATGGTGAGCGTCCTTCGTGTCAAAATTTCCTGAACGGAAATTTGCTAACCAATTATGGAATTTGTGTTTGGTTAGGCATCATCCTCATAAACACTGAAAAACAAGTAGATGATGTTATGCAGCTCGCTCACCTATATTTGTAATACATAGTAAGGACAAGTATTGCGATCGCGAAAATTTTTGAATCTGAGTTTTCAAAGGGAATAAACGTCTTTAAAAAACGCAGCAAATTATTTCACAATGGTTAATTATTTCCAAACAATTATACACCTAAAGTAACATTACCTTCCGAGTTACAAAGTAAAAAAACAAAAGATGATTCCAATTATTGGACTAAACTGTTTTTCTCTAATCATTAGTAATATGCCAAAAAAAAAAAATAGCATTACTTCAGTAACACATTCAAAATTTAAAAACCAAACCAAGGATATAACATTTGGAGTAAAACATTTTTTAAAAAACCGGAGACCATATCTTTGCTCATAATTGTCCGATTTTAACGATTTTTTTAAGGAAATTTAGTAAACTTTAACGAATAACAAAAAAGTAAAAAATTTCGAGTTATTCGGATTTAATTTTACCATCCCTCATAACTTTTTTTCCAACTTCTTTTCGTTGAAGTATGTTATATGGATAAATTTAAAGGGCGTCGAGAAAATTAGAGCCGCCATTTTGAAAGTTAAAGGCGGAGAGTAATGTCGATGAAGGAGGATCATCCTCGGGTGACCTCTGAGTTTATATCAAAATTTGAAAAAATCGGTCCAGTAGTTTCGGAGAAAGTGCGCGGACGGCGGACGGACAAAAAAAATGTATTCGTTTTTCGAATTCTACGCGTCCTGAAACGTGAAACCTCAAATTTTGAAAGGGGGTTAAGTTTTTGAATTTTTTGGTCGATCACAATGGTTGATTGTTGAAAATGATAAACCAAAATAATACAGAAAAATATGGCCATAATCAGTGAGATTTTCTTCCATATTCATCGCGCGATATTAAACAGAATACTGATCTGATTTTAAAAAGATGGTTATCATTTGCCTACCCAATACTTTGATAGTTTTGTTGCTTTTTTTCTCCTGAATTAATACATAAAATTGTTTGCCTAGCAATATTTTAACATATGTATCAGTATTTTATCATTATTTTATAAAAGATAGAAAAAGAAAATAACTTATAATTATTCCAATTATCAATGGATTCAATTTTTAACGAAATATTTACCCATGTCTTGGATACCGAGGTAGCAGAACTGATTTCCCTTTCTGAATTTATATATTTTAATCAGCGCGACAACCCAATTTCCAACACTCCGGAGTTCATGAAGCTGATGTTGACATTGGAATCGGTCGTGAAGGGCAGTGCTCATCTAGTGAAGGCTTCAAATATAATAGAGTGAGTAGTTTGCTCAGTCTGATTTTAAGCCATAATCAATCATTATATTAGTTAGTCAAACAAACTTTTGGACAAGCTTATTAAAAAGTCCAAACATGACTGTCGGCTCTTCTCTTTGTTAAGCTACGTGCTTATGCTTGAGGCGTCAACAAACAAAAACAGATGATTATTCATTACTTTTTTTTAAGTTCACTTTTTCAAAAGGATTTTTTTTTTCTGTTGGCATTACAGATTTTGGATTGTAAGGTTTGGATACGAGAGGAATTCGATGGCTTAGTGGGGCCCCAGAGCACAACTCCGTAAGTCCAAATAAGTTTTATTGTAGTCATATATATGAGTCGTTTGTAATTGATTGAAAGCTTAGAGCGTTTGTCTAGTAAGTGTTGGAGTAGTCGGAAACGTCGAGTGGTTTCTTGTTGTTTCAGTCTTGTATGAGGATTCCATGTGAGTCGTTTGTCGAGGTGGAGTCCTAGGTAACGGATTTGTTCAACTGGGATAAGTGGGGAATTGTTAAAGAATACTGTAGGACAGGAGGTCGTAGGTTTACGACGCATGGTAAAGGTAATTTGATGGGAGTTTATTTCGTTCATTCTAATGTTATGTAATAATATAAAATAAAACAAACCAAAAATTAATATTTAAAACTTTTATTCGTCAAGGTCCGTTGAAGTGTCATCTTCATCTGTCTCAAGTTGGTAGCCCTGGCTCAACTGAGGCTCGACATGCTTGATGTAGTTATCCACTTCTTCGATAGAGCCAAGGACCAGGTTGGTATGTTGTGACTTCGAAGTTTTAAGGGACTTTAAAATGGCCGTTTGACCGTTTGAGTCTCTTGTAATCGGCTGGAAGCTTAGAGCGTTTATCTAGTAAGTGCTGAAGTAGGCGGAAACGTCGAGTGGTTTCTTGCGGTTTCCGTCTGGTAAGAGGATTCCAAGTTTTTGTCTAAGTGGAGTCCAAGGTATCGGATTTGTTCAACAGGGATAAGTGGAGTATTATTAAAGGATACTGTAGGACAGGAAGACATGGGTTTACGAAGAAGGTTAAAGGTGATTTGATGAGATTTATTTTAAACCCAAAGAAGCTACCCATTGGTAACACTTCAAAGATAAATTAATTTAGGAGGTCTCTTGGCCATCTTCTGTTGTTTGTTGTTTGTTTCGATGTCTAGGAGCAAAACATCCAGGTCATCAGCCCCCGATCAATTAAATAACACTACTTTTATACTGTTTGGATCGTTGGTCAAATAATTTTTTAAATAATTTTATTGAAATTTACAACTGTATTACATTAAAAATACAACGGGTAAATGTGACATTGGTAACATGACATGTAAAATATGAAGAGAAACTACCCATTGGTAGAACTCAAATTAAAGTTCTATATTAGAAGATCCCGAGGCCATCTTCTTTTCAGACGCCTCGGAGGGTTATCAGAGATAGAGGAGGAAGCAATGTTTGAAACAAGAGGGTTCGGATGGTTCTGCAGTTTGTTATGGAAAGATAGGTATTTGGATTGGGTCAAATCGGAAACATATGGAACATTAAGGTCTTTATGGAAGGTCTTTATATCGAGAGGAATTCGATGGCTTAGTGGAGCCCCAGAGCTCAATTCCGTAGGTCCAAATAGGTCTTATTATTGTCATAGTCGTTTGTAAATGAGTGAAAGCTTAGAGCGTTTGTCTAGTAAGTGCTGAAGTAGGCGGAAACGTCGAGTGGTTTCTTGCGGTTTCCGTCTGGTAAGAGGATTCCAAGTTTTTGTCTAAGTGGAGTCCAAGGTATCGGATTTGTTCAACAGGGATAAGTGGGGTATTATTAAAGGATACTGTAGGACAGGAAGACATGGGTTTACGACGAAGGTTAAAGGTGATTTGATGGGATTTATTTTAAACAGACCATCTAGATCTTTTGCCGCCTTAACAAGCCTGCTCCATCTCTGCCTGTCTTGGGCTATTTCTTTCCATTTTTCTGCACGCAGCTCTGTTGCATCTTTGTTGATTTTATCTAGCCATCTGCTTTTTGGCCTTCCACGTGGTCTTTTGTCTTCTATTCAGGCATTAATTGTTACGTAGAGGCTTCCAGATGGATTGCTACGAGCTACATACCCCGCCCATCTTAACCAAAATGATAAAATAAATATTTAATAACAAATTAATTTTTACTACAAAATACAAAACTTTAAGAATTTGGAGCACATGGGCCTATACCGAGAAGGCAAGACAATTCCTGCTCCTTTCATTTCGTATTTATTTACTTAAAGATAATAAACTGGAGACAGAGAAACTCCTTTATGTATAAGGAAGTTTCCTTTATTCGGATAAGGAATATATCTACGCTTTTCCTCCGAAAGTTCGTGCGACAATGATTTGGAATTATGTATTTCTGTTAGTAGAGGTCTAAAGTAAGCATAAAGATGAACATAGCAGTAGTTTTCCTGGCAAATTTTACTTCTGAATCAATTTCATTTACCAACATTGATTGTGTAATGTAACCTCTTACTAATATTATCTCTATTTTCCAAAGGTAAAAATCGATTAATAGATTGTAATTCTAACCTCTTAATTCCTCTTTGAAGTATAATTCTTCGTCATCTCAAGAAGAAATCATCGGTTTATTGCAAATAGTCACTAAGTACATTTTTGATGGAGTTGGAACGTTAATGTGGATTTCAACCTTATTTGTTGATAAAAAAAACTGTAAGTGCCATAAATTGATATAAACCCATTTATATCAAACTTATAGTTTTCTGATTTTACGCTAGGAAAAATTACCAGAATTCTTAATGATATAAGGTTAGAATTAATACTTTGCTGAACCATGGAATATTAGAGTGTAAATATTGGTAGGCACGGGAAAGTAGGATTTTTGCACAGTTGTAAACATTTTCAGCTTTCGCCACCTCTCTTTCCTATAAAAATAAAAATTTTATGAAATGTATTTCGAAATAAACAGCATTATCAGATTCTATTAACTCGTGTCATTGCCTGAAATAAGTCCTAAAATTAGAAAAAAAAAATGTTTTTCTACTTAAGGTAAAATAAAACTCAAGATGTGTCGCTCTATAAATTCTGTCGCACGGGGCAAGATCTTTCTGTTCCTTTCCAGTTCTAGCCATGGGTTGTGTTTGTAAATGCTAGCCATGGGATACTTAAACAGGCATTATCGTCGAATCATGAAGAATTACCTATGATTTGTCAGGTCAGGTGCTTTACGTTAAGTGCTTAATGCTCTAAAATAAAAAAAAAAACGTATCTACTTTACAAATCCCTTGTGGATAGGCGATGCACAGGATCGAGACAGACGGTGTAAACAAGAGACAACATCTCTCTCGGTCCTGTATTTCGGTACTCTGCATACTGATTCAAGTCTTGACTCAGGGATGAGTTGTAACGCCACTCACATATTGATGTACAGACACAATCCTTTACTATCATATCACATCCTACATATGCAGACTCCTGCAATTAAAATCTTCAATCCATTTTCACATTCCACATTCTAAAGAAGTTCGTCATTTCAACACCCCTTGCATGCGATATCAACATTTAATATACTCTTCTTTCTATCTGACATTCTCTCCCCTTAAGCCACATTCAAAACCCTTCTATTCCAACACCGGTTATGATTGAGACTTTCTAATTGTTTTATAAGATTCATCTTTGTGCTTTCAAACGTTCTCATGTTTTCTGCTAGTACACCGAGTTCAAGTGACTTTATCCTACTTCCCAACGGGAATTCATCCTTCGCGTTTTTTTTTTCCTAATCCGCAGGACCAAAAATCTTCCTTAGATCCCAGGACGCCTTATACTACGTTCCTCTAAATACTAAATCTCATCCTATTGATCTATATTTTTCCTCCAATGAAACCACTTTCATCAGAAAATACTTCATCATTTGTGCTACCTACTTTTGGAATCCCCTTAGCTATCTCCATATTCAATCCTCGTACACAAATTCCTTTATATAACTCCTATTCCGCTACCTGCTTCATATTCAAACTTCCTCATCCATGTAAGCATTTTTAGTTTCTGTAATTACTATTGTTGTTATTAGTTAATTGGTGAGTGCCGTTTTTTTATCTGCCTGCATGTCAGACTAATGCGCAGTATTTCTAAAATCTGTCATTATTCTTAAGGGACTTTAATCGTTAATTTAATCTGACTTGAGCAGGTTTTTATTTAATGTAAGGATTTATTTTAATGTGTATATAACCAATCATTTAAAATTTTTTTTTAGGAAGCGGGCCGCAGAAGACCTAGAACTCGAGAGAGAGGAAATGTTCGGAAGCGACTCCTCCGAGCCGGACTCTTGCATCTCCCATATCTCGTCGGACCTTTTGGACGACGGCGAAGACTTCATCTGCAACATCGGTTCCAATCCGAACCTCGCTGCTGGACAGAAACAGAGATCTGTATGTTCCGGGGCCTCTTCGAGGACGCAGAGCGTCTTCTTTAAGGACGAATGGGGACAAACAATCGCAGAACGACTCAATACAGTATTTGTGGATTATTTTGCCGATTCTTCTACAACGTCATTGATTGCGAGTGAAATGGATAAAACATTTATGTTGGTTAGTATTTTTTACTATATTTATATGTATTTATTTCAATGAATTGATAATTACAAAATGCACATACATCTGCTCAAATATACATTTTGGTGTTCCGGAAACTGATGACTTAACGACCTACACCGTTTGAGGCAATAAGGGCCAAACTACTTAGGAAAAGCGTACAGTACATCATATATATATAGAAAACAATTTTCCTCAGTTTGTCAGTAACGACAACTACCCGCACTATGAAGCTTTTATATACTGGTGGAAAAGATTTTGTGTACTGGTGGCTCACGATTTTAACCTTTCTCAATAAAAAGAAAATAATTAGAAAAACGGAAGAATGAAGAACAAAATGTATAATAATAATAATAATAAAAGGCTTAGCGAATCCGAAGGTTCGATGCCGACACCACCAATCGCTTATTACACACCTCCCTCCACCGTTCGCCGTCCAAACTCAGTCCCTTCAGATCGGCTTTAATGCAATCTTCCCACCTTCGCTTCGGTCTACCCCTCGGACGCTTACCATTCGGCACTGCAACTAGAAGATATAGAACAAAATATAGAACAAAATGTATATGTGGCATGAATTTCTTCATTCTAAAATCCTTATTGCCAAGAGACAGAGTTGGATGAGAATAAATAAGTACATAAAGCCATTATATTTTATTTAAACATTTAACATTTAAGGTTAAAATTGCCAATGCGGTAACAGACTTGTAGATCTTTTGCCGCCATACTCATCCTTCTCCATCTCTGTCTATCTTGACCTATTTCTGTCCACTTATCTGCATGATCTATTGCATATTTATAGATTCGATGTATTTTTGTCCTTTCACATGGTCTCTTGCCTTCTATCATGGTATTGAATGTTGTTTAGATACTTCCTTTGAGCAACATATTGATTGACCAGTTTCTGTTATGTTTACTGGTCCTTCTTTTCCATGTGTTAGTACTCTTGTTCCAGATCGATCCTCTTATCGTAGAATTTTTCTTTCAAATCTTTTAATCACTCTTTCTATGCTGCAGGTTATTCTCACATCCGTTTATCATAACTTGCTTTATCATAGCATTGTATATCCTTGAATAACGCATCCACGATTTAATTTTGGGAGACTTCGGCCCGAAATCTTTATATATATATATATAACGGTTGGAGGAAGCAAGGTTGGAAACGAGAGAGTTCGGATGGTTCAGAAGTTTATTATGAAAGGACAGGTATCTGGATTGAGCTAAATCGGAAACATATGGTACATTAAGGTCATTATGGATGATTTTATTTGTGACAAAGTCGGGAGCATTAAGGATTTTACGAAGGATTTTGGAGATTGGATGGTATAGTAGAGCCCTAAAAAAGATCGATCCCGTAAGTCCAAATAGGCCTTATTATAGTAATATATATGAGTCTTTTGTAAATAGTTGGCAGTTTAGAGCTTTTGTCTAGTAAGTGCTGGAGTAGTCGGAAACGTCGGGCGGTTTCTAGTCGCTTCAGTCTGGTATAGGGGTTCCAAGTGAGTCGTTTGTCAAGTATATATATATATATATATATATATATATATATATATATATATATATATATATATATATATATATAAAGATTATTACTTGGGAAGAAAAAGAAACAACATAGTGTTTAAGTGATTCTGGATGTCCTAATAAATGTAATTATGCCAATAATAATTCTTTTACAGATAATATTATTTATAAAACATAGTTAAATTTTACGCCATACCTTGATATGAGATTTCTTACGATTTTTGGAGATTTCGATACCTTTGACAGAAGAAAGAACCCTCTGCTTGTGCTTACATGCCGGTCTATTTCTGACCGTTGGTTATTATTTAAGGTTATTGTAGAGGCAAGGTATTTGAATTTTTCTACTCTCTGGAACGATCTACGCAGATCTTGCTATTGGAGTGAAAATATTAGGCTTATTATAATATATTTTGCTTTATATTAATTTGCCTGTAGACCAATTTATTCTGCTTCTCCTTGTTTGTTCTTAGCCAGTTTCTATGTTTTCTTGATTACTCCAATATGCTGCTTGATAAAGCTGTATCGTCTGCATATCCAAGTATGATATAATTCATTCCGACATTCACCCCACTATAAAATTTACGTTAATTACTTATTATCATTATATCTTCTTTCTATTTATTCATCCCTGCCTTTACTTTCGGCTACACAAGTTTTGCAGAGATGGTATATCCCGTAACTATGTGTATGCCATCCCTACTTTTAAACATACAAGATTTTTAAACACAACAACGTTCTCTCCTTAGGTAGAAAATAGTTCCTTCTTAAACTAGTTCACTCTGGCCAGTCTTGGTCCTCTTCTTACTAGATTGAAATGTGCTGGGCCCAGAGCAGCTTTCCATCCGAACACAAAATCTTTGTTATACGAGTAGCTCTGCTCCGTCACTAGTTGAGGCAATTCATTTTCTGTGAGGGCATAAATTCTAGTTTTATCCATCATTCTGGCGCTTAGGCCATTAAAAGGGGGGCAGTTGACTATGACGTGCCCAGCCGTCTCTAGTGCTCTGCATCTTGGGCATAGGAAACCTATATCTTTTCCCAGGATATATAACTTAGCGCGGAATCCTCGATGCCCTGTAAGAAATTAAGAGACCCAGTATTCCGGAAGAACCCATTTCGCTTCCAATCGGGTCTGTACGGTGGGAAAGTATTCCCTTAAGGTTTCTCCTTTGGTGGTGTTCAACCACCGTTGATTTCACCCATCTATATTATTCTCCCGGATAATCTTATTCCATTTCCTTGGGTATTCAGCAATTCTCATTCGAATATTCTCCGAGAGACCTGCCGAGCCTTCTCTTTTGAATGTCATTCTCATAAAGGCTTCTCGTAGGACGTGGTCGAGGAATTATTATTATTATATCTATTAACCAGATCATACAAACGAGCGAACTCTCACGGACAGGTCGTATGATCCATATTAAAGTTTATGGGTCTCTTAGCGCCACTTAGCTTTACAAACAAGTTAATCTACTTTAAACCTATTTACTGATATAAAATTTTAAATACATTTCTATCCCTGTTGAACGAATCCGATACCTAGGCAAACGACAAACTCGACAAACGACTCACTTGGAAACCCTATACCAGACTGAAGCTACTAGAAACCACCCGACGTTTCCGACTACTCCAGCACTTACTAGACAAAAGCTCTAAACTGCCAACTTTGTGATGGCGGCAAAAGATCTAGATGGTTTGTTTAAAATAAATCCCATCAAATCACCTTTAACCTTCGTCGTAAACCTATGTCTTCCTGTCCTACAGTATCCTTTAATAATACTCCACTTATCCCACTTGAACAAAGCCGATTGGACTCCACTTAGACAAAAACTTGGAATCCTCATACCACAAACGACAAGAAACCACTCGACATTTCCGACTACTCCAGCACTTACTAGACAAAAGCTCTAAACTGCCAACTATTTACAAAAGACTCATATATATTACTATAATAAGGCCTATTTGGACTTACGGGATCGATCTTTTTTAGGGCTCTACTAAACCATCCAATCTCCAAAATCCTTCGTAAAATCCTTAATGCTCCCGACTTTGTCACAAATAAAATCATCCATAATGACCTTAATGTACCATATGTTTCCGATTTAGCTCAATCCAGATACCTGTCCTTTCATAATAAACTTCTGAACCATCCGAACTCTCTCGTTTCCAACCCTGCTTCCACTTCTGTTCCTGATAACCCTCCGAGGCGTCTGAAAATAAGATGGCTTCGGGACCTTCTAATATAGAAATATAATTGGAGTGCTACCAATTGGTAGTTTCTCTTCATGTTGTACATGTCATGTTACTTGTTCATATTTACTTGTTGTATTTATTATTTAATACAGTTGTAAATTTGTTTAATAATAAAAAAAATACATTTCAGATTGACAAAGAAAAGAGAGGCAGCTACGTTCTGTATTACAGCCCATTGGATTGTCCTTACAACGTCTACTACGGATCAACTTGCGGTTCTATGTTTTCCTTCGTAAAGTCAGTAACTATATAATGGCAGCTTACTAATGGTATCATTTATAAATCTACTGATTGGAATTTATTTTAGCCAATTGAATAATTTTCAGAAAAACAGATTACAAGTTCAAACAATATTTAAATATGGAAAACGCCCTGCTCCCTGGTACCTACGTGGATTGTGCTGGTTACGTTATATACGGATGTAGTACTGTTCTCACTCTGGGGATCCGCAATGCAGGTGTACATCAGTTCACGCTGGACGCCGTATGTTAATATTTATTAAACTGAACTAATTGTTAATATTAATTAACTATTTCAGAAAATATATTTTAAAAGAACCTATCACTATGGTATGACCCTTGTGACAGTTCATAATGAGGTGTATTAAATAAAATGTAGTTATGAAATGAAATGAAATGAAAATGAAATGAAAAAATAATTTTATTCTGGGACTACTGCCCTTTAAGAATAATGACAGAGTTACAAATTTATGGATCTTAGTCTGACATAATAAAAATACTAACTAATTTACTGTTAATTGTTATTTCAATTGTGCAATGGATTGAAATTAAACATTGTATAGATGCAAGTAATTTTACATGTTAGGGGAAGTTTGAATGTGGAGTAGGTGTTGGAACAGGAGTCGTTTGAAGGAATTTGTGGACGAGGATTGACGCATGGAGGTAGGAAGTGAGTTCCATAAGGAAGCAGCACGAATGACGAAGGATTTGATGAAGGAGGGAGTTTTATGGAAGGGAATATATAAGTCCATAGGTTGAGACGTAGTATTGAGAGAGTGGATACAGGAGTATAGAGTAAGGAGTTCCAGGACGTAGGGAGGGTTTTTGGTTCTGAAGACTTGGAAAAGGAAAATACCTAGAAGGAATTGTCGTCAGGAAGTAGGATAAAGCCACTTCAACTCGGTGTACCAGAGTGAAACATGTGAACACCTGGGGATCCCGAAAATGTATCTTATGAAACAATTCATGAGTTTCTTTAGTCTCATTTCCAGCCTGGCAGATAGCCCTCCATACACCAAACAGCCGTAGTCGAAGTGGGGGAATACAAGGGAGGTTACAAGGAGCTGTCTGGTTTTTAGAGGAATACAATCATGGAATCTTAGGAGTTGTTTAAGGGCAGTTATGAATTTTCGGGTAATCTGTGAGATATGGTAATTCCAGGAGAGTTTCTGGTCAAAGGTTACTCCTAGGTTTTGACTGTAGGGAAAAAATGGATGGGACGGTTATTGAGGTTAAGTAGAGGAAAGTAAGGAAGGGAGCTGATGAGATGTCTGGACCCGATGATAAAAGCGTTGGTTTTATCTGCATTCAGCTTTAATTCATTTATTTCTGCCCATCTGTTGATGCAGTCGATGTGGCAGCCTCAGCCATCTCAGAAGGTTGGAATGATTGGTATATTTGGAAATCATCGGCATATAGGTGGTAACTGGAGTGTTGAATGGCGTTAGGAAGGTCACTGATATAGATGGTGAAAAGGGTCGGGGAGAGTGAGGAACCCTGAGGAACACTTCGTGTTAATTCGTGTTATGCTGTGAATTATATATAATATTCATATTTAATTAATTATTATGTTTTAATCTATATCTTAAATTTGAAATATACCTTCTCAAATGTTTCTTTGTTAGTTTACTGAATTAATTATAAGTTTACTGGGTGACATAGAAGGCAGAAGTTATTAGCATGAAACTAAACCGTATCGTAAGTGGACCCAGGGAAAGAAGACCCAACAATGGTTATTGTAATACATAAATATAAATATTGGAACACACAAGTATAAATAATATGGAATATAATTACAAAATAAATAATATAATCCGAGAGCTAGTGAGAAAAAAAAAAAAACGACATTATTTGTTGAAAACTTTAGAAGCATTTTTTTTAAATATATATATTTAAAGAAAGAGAGTCTGTCAGTCGGATCTTGCTACCTTTAAAATGATTTAAAAAATATCAGACAAGGAAATTGAGGATTGAAACGGAAAATTTGTTGCGAAAAATGTAGGAAAAGTTTTTATTTTTTAACTTGTATATACACTTATTACGTAAAAAGTAACTATATCATTGAAACTAGAGTTAACTGATGAAATTTCAATTTCAATTTCTGTCGAAATTAGAATTTCTCCCACCAAAAAACATGAAATGAGGCTGTTTTCAAGTGAGATGAAATATCAATGTAGAGCAGTGTAATTTTTTGACGAATTTGGTAAAAATCAGCATTGATTGGCCGTTGTTATCGACCATACTACTTAACCATATTATTACAGTTAGGTACTCATTCGACGCAAAATTTAGCATTCTTTAATTTCTTAAATAGTGCGTTTTTCGCTTAGATACACCAACGAGTAGTTATAGATGAAAAGATAGAAAACGTTCGAAAAAATCTGTTTTTTTTTTTTTTTTGGCTGTAAAAAGATTTCCCTTGGTGGACCACGTTAGCGGTTTTGTTTTTTACATGTCTTAACCCATACATACAACTTAAAAAAAAATAAAAACTTTTCTCACATTTTTCAATGTGATTACTGGTATAATATTCTTCAAATCAGCAGCAATTTTTAAAGATAGCAAGAACCGAATGGCAGACTCTCATTCTTTAAATAAAAATGCTATAAATATTTTTTAAAAAGTTTGCATCAAATAATGCCGTTTTTTTTTTCTCACCGGCTCTTGGACTAACAATAATGGCCAAAGACTTTAATAAACCATAAAGACTTTAATAATGGCCAAATCATGGGTAAGTAACTTATATAATCTATAACTATCTCATTAGAGATGAAAGGCTAGTAAAGCCAGGCGCCCAACAACTAAAGATTCCTAGGAACAATTATATTTAATAAACATTTTTTTATCTTTTTACTTTATCATTTTTTTGGTCATATAAATAGTGGCGCCCAACGTGGGGGCGCCACTATTTATATGACAAAAAAAAAAAAAAAAAGAATAAATGAAAGGATAATAAAATAATTTTTAATAAATATAATTTTCCATAGGAATTTTTATTTGTTGGGCGCCTGGCTTAATTATTCTTTCATCTCTAAAGAGATAATTATAGAGAATATAAGTTACTTACCCATGATTTGGCCATGATAAATCATTTATTCTGCCATGCTAGCTCATGTGAGAAGGGTTAGGTTGGATATTTTTTTATAAAGCAGCAAAAAAGGTTAACAAATCTATTTACAGAAAGAAATATTAACAGAATTAATACTATGTACAATAAAAATAAATAAAATACAAGTAAAAAAGAGGGAATTTAAACATAATTACTATATACAATTAAAGATAAATAGGAAGATATTTAAGATGATAAAGATAATAAAAATAACAAGAAAAAGATACTTATTCTATATACAATAGTATGGCATCCCACATCTAAACATCTAGAAAAGATAGTCAAGATACAAGAGATCTAAGATGTAAGAGCACATGCACATGCTGAAAATGAATTAAGAATGTGGCCCAAGGAACAAAAGAGAGTGGAGTTTGTTTTTTTTTCCAATGCTTCCTTAATCTTGGTTACAATATATTCTTAGCGAGTTAGGCCCCAAAACATTTTTCTTTTCTGTATAACTTTTTTCCTGAATTTTTATGGGAATTTAATCCATGTACGAAAATTGATAGAAGATTTCATATATAGGAAAGTTTCATCAAAATCGTTAGAGAAGTTCTGGCGCTACAGTCTATAGAAAAACATTTTTTTAATTTATTACACAGCAGCTATTGCGCATGGAGCACCCAATTCCTGTCACAGGCATCAGTAGACAAAACCCTACAAAATAAAAAAAGAAGCAACAAAATCGGTTCAGTAGTTCCCGAGAAAATCTTGCACAAACAGACAAATGGCTAAAAATGTGTTTTTCGGACTCAGGGGGCTCTGTAACGTTTAGATGCATAGAAAATCGCATTTCGGAAATTTGACCCGATTGCAATATTTTCCTTACCTAGTATAGGTAGGAAAGTAAAAACTATCTGCTATAAATAGCTGCGTTTATGTTTATTGATTTTTTTTTCAAATTAAATTTTTAAAAAAATATATGTAACGGAATAATCATCATAAATTCATTGGTTTCTTATTCCAGAATAAATGCATATTTTATCAAAGCAGTTATGCCTTTTATATAAAAAAAATCATTAATTTTTATTTATTATTATTTTTTTTTTAATTCTGTTGAAATATTTTACAATATATTAAGTGTTGGCGTTTTAAGAAACAAAAAACAGACCAGATCAAAACCAAATGATCGATGACCTCTTTATCCCTCAGCTTCGTGTTGGTAACCGATTCGTTACGGGCAGAGCTAGCGAGACCAATCGTCTGGAAGGTTTCTAACTCTGCTGAACTGGCCAGGAAGAATGCAAAATATCAAAAAGAGTTCGATTTCGAAGCTTGCCGAAGAGTTCCCGTAATTTCACCATATTTTGAAGGAACTTGTTGAAGAAGAATTTTAATGATAATAACAAAAGGCTAAGCGAACTGGATATTAGATGTCGATAAAGCCAATAGTTTACAAATCTTAATTACTTTCACTTACGTATATATGTAATATACAGTAAGGGTAAGTATTAGGATCGTGAAATTTTCGAATCTCAGTTTTCAACGGAAATACATGTTTTGAGGTCCCCTGAGTTCAAATAACCAAGTGTCGCAAAATGGTCTGTGTGTGTGTGTGTGTTAACGTCTAGCTCATAAACGAAAAGTAGTTTGAAACTGATATTAAGCATTTAAGGTTTGTATATGGGCCGGATGTGACAGTAACTTCGATGCTGTTTTTCGTTAAAATCGGCTAACCGGAAGTGCCACTTTATATGAACGCTGAAACACATTTTTACAATTTTCTCAAAAACGGCTCTTACGATTTTGATCAAACTCGGTGTATCATAGTATAATTAAGTGGTCTTTAATATTATTTAAGTCTTATCCCCGTTGATGTCACTTTACAGGGCTTAAATGCCCAAAGTACATATATGTCTTCCTCTAAAGTACCTTAATTATGGTTTATTTTAAAATGTTAACCATTTCGCATTATTCAGAGTTACGAAAAAATGCAACATATAACTTTTGAAAGAATTTGATAAGTTAATAAAGAAGAAAAAAAAAATGCAGAAAAACCTGCGTTGCTGTAGACTGTAGCGCCTAAACGAATGTACCGATTTCAATGAAACTTCGCTAAAGTCATTTTCTCGACACCCTTTAAATTTATCTATATTACATACTTCAACGAAAAGAAAATGGAAAAAATGTTACGAGGGATGGTAAAATTAAATTCCGAATAACTCAAAAAGTATACCCTTTTATGTGGATATTGTTTTTTAAAAGTTTATGGAATTTCCTAAAAAACAAAAAAAAAATGCGTTAAAATCGGACAATTAGGAGGAAAGATATGGTGTCTAGTTTTTTCCCCTGAAGAGGCGAAAATTTGTATAAATTTAAAATATACTTTTTTAATTGTTGAGTCTAAAAATCTTTTTTTCTACAGATATTTAATAGAGTATCTTACCTCAGAACATCTTTTATAAGAAATAAGTACCTAAATTTATACCTTTATTCTCAGTTCTATATTTCAACACTGCAATCACCACCTCCGGAATCAACTTACTCATATTCTGCATAGATAACTTTTTCAAGTAAAAATATCACTAAAATGACATCATTCAAAAATGTCGAAATTGGAGTTAGTCATTCTGAGGTTTATAAAAGCAAAGAAAGTTGTGTGGCTTATAAAATCAGATGGAGTGAGTAGATTTTTATTGCCTGTAGTCAATATATTAAATAGACATTTTGTAATTATAATGGTCTTAATGACTTGTTATCTGTAAGCTTTAAGCTTTAGCTCCGTTTCAAATGCACTTCAAACAATTTTATAATAGCCCACCATTGCCAAAAAATAATTTCTATTTAAAGTAGGTAAGTGAAAGTTGTGTGTTGCGTGCATCAGATTTTTTTTATTACAATTTAAATTCTCAAGGTCGGATTTGACACAAACATCACATCAACGTTTCGGTCGAACCCCGGCTTGCTAAGAGCCGATAATCCTTTCAGGAGTTCGTTCTTTATACATCACGAAGACTTTACTCGTCTATATAATAAATGGGTTCTTCGCGATGCTAAAACTTCGATTATATGTACGAAGTCCCCCGTTGTGCAGCTGTTTAAATTATCCAACTAATTCATCCATAGGCGCTGGTACTTGAGATGTATTGGGGTATAAATACCTTTAAACTAAATGACAGTCAAATATTATTTAATCTCTTAAGCGCAGAAAATTCATAATATTTATTTCTGGATTAATTTATATCATTTTTTTCCCTCAGAATTTGGGAATGTTTATAATGACAGCGACAAACATGCGGACACCGATCAAAGGTAAAATATATACTATTGACGAATCATCATCTCTATCCTGGAATCAAGTCGTCGCTGAATATATTGACCAGAAAAAGAAAGAAGAGGTATAAAAATGTATTATAATTATTGTAGATAATATTTCCTATTAATTAACCTTTTTTTCTATACTTATTAATTGTTATACAATAGTAATATATTGAAATTAAAGCATTAAACGAGATACAATGGGGACCCATGGAAATAGAATAAGAATGGACATTCTTCTTGTTTACGTTTAGCTTTACATGCAGTATATAAACAGTATTATAATATTACCTAGGCACTTTCCTTTATCAAATCATTACCGATCATCGTCCTTCTTATGCCTACAACCTTCTCCAATTTAAGTCCTCAATCCATTCCCTCACTACAAGATCTCGACCCTCTGACCTATACATCCCTTCTCATAGATCTGCCTCATTCCAAAACTCCTTTATAGCCCTCTGTGTCAACTTTTGGAATTCCCTCCCGATCAAAATTCAACATGCCCCTTCCCTATACACATTCAAAAACCTCCTATTCCAATTCCTGTTCCAAAAACAGTTAGATACCAGCTAACTATTAATATTATATATGTATTGTGTAGCAATCAAATAATCATAATACTTGGTAAGAGATAGTACATACATTTCCTATTATCGACATAGGAATTACAATAAATACTTTTTTTTTTATTTAATTATAATTAACTGTTTATTTATATATATATATATATATATATATATATATATATATATATATATATATATATATATATATATATTCAAGTAAAGTTTTTTTTTTTATGAAATGAACTCATTTTATCTCTTTTTCTTTCTTCATTTCTCAAAGTGTATGTTTATGTTGTTCAACCCTTATATTTAGTTTTGTTCATAGTTTCAAGTGATTCCCTCATAGTTTTAAGTGTTTTGTTCATAGTTTTAAATGCTCTGTACATAGTTTTATCTGTATTGTATATAGTTTGTGCACCTAAGGTTTTCTTTACTTTTTATTTCATTTTATCAATTTTATTTTTTGTTTCAAACTTTTAGCTCAGTAATATTCTATTTTTTTGTACAATATTGTTATTCTAAAGGGACTTAGTCCCAGAAGTTTTCTTTTCTATCTATCTATCTATCTATAAAAAAGGAGAGTGTTATAATATAGACGTTCATTTCGCAAAGAAGGAATGCGTCACTCTCAATGTTTGACGTGATCTAATACGTCGTCTACAATATTTTAAATTGTCTCACACGAGCATAAAATATTATGAACTTGTGCTGACAAATGCATTAGAATAAGTTCACTACTATTATTATAGGCGGAAGGCATTCCTTTGTTTACAATTAATTTATGTTAGCTACGTTTACACATTCCTCGCGCGGGCTCATTACCGCGTATGGGGAGCGTCCCACGGGTGGCGGATGTGGGGATGGTCGGTGGAAATTCCTTGGAAGTTCCTCCCGGCTAAGTCCGATGGACTCGCTGACCAACAATGAGAGGGGCCCTCCAGACTTGCTGGAGGGAGGGGACCTCCAGACTTGCTGGAGGTAGGGGCCCACCAGACTTGCTGGAGGGTGTGACGTAGGATTGAACGCCCTACTCACATATCTTTAGTTCACCAAACACCACAAAAAGTCATGGATCTCCCTAAGGTAAAACGCTCATTATCCGGAGGTAAACTAGTCCCCCGTTCGGGTCTCCGGGTGGGGACTGCTTTAGGGGATTCATGGTGCAAGTTGAAATATAGGGATTTAAATATTGGTACGTGGAACGTAAGGAGTTTAAACACAGCAGGGGGGCTAAAATCGGTCGCGAATGAGGTAAATGGGTACAATTTGGATGTCGTGGCTCTGCAAGAGGTTCGCTGGCCAGGGGAGGGCTCGATGAGGGAAGGAAAGTACACTATTTGGTACGGAGGAAGCGGGAATCATTGTTTAGGTACCGGGTTTCTAATTAGGAGTAGATTACTATCCGCTATGAGCGACGTACAATTCTTTAGTGATAGAATTTCGGTAGCTATATTTCAGGGACGTTGGTTTAAAATCGCATTAATAAACATACATTGTCCGACCGAAGACAGTGACGATGAAGTCAAAAGTGAATTTTACGATAAACTCGAATGGGTTTATGATAAACTACCGCGAAACTACATGAAAATAATTGTAGGTGACGCGAACGCAAAGGTAGGAAGGGAAGAAGTTTATATTCCGACGATTGGTAAAGAAAGTTTGCACGAATATAGTAATGATAATGGGATCCGTCTGATAAACTTTGCCATCTCGAAAAAACTGATAATTAAAAGTACGACGTTTAAACATAAGGATATTCATAAATATACTTGGACATCACCGGATTCGCAAACACGAAATCAAATCGATCATGTCTTGATACAACACAGCTGGCAAAGCAGTATAATCAATGTACGGTCTTATCGCGGAGCAGAATGTGGGTCGGATCATGAATTAGTAATCGCGAAACTTCGACAAAAACTTAATATAAAAAAGAGAAAAGAAAACCGTATCGATTTTGAGAATTTTAATTTGGAAAAATTAAAAAATCCATCAATTAGAAACCAATTCGAGGTAGATGTTAAGAATAGGTTTGAAGCTTTAGAGCTTCCTGACGAGGACCACGAGGATATTGACAAGTTATGGGTAGAGATCAGGGATAATATAAAAGCGGTCGGTAACTCGTGCCTAGGAAAAAAGGAAACTAAGAATAACAAACCGTGGTTTGATGAAGATTGCTTAAACATGTGCGAAAAAAGAAAATCCGCTAAATTAAAAGCTCTAAATAATCCTAGCGAAGACAATCTGGAATACTTCCGAATCTCAAAGAACGAAACGACAAAATTGCTCAAAAATAAAAAAAGGGAGTATCTTAAAAATAAAATAATTGAAATAGAAACTAATAGAATCAAAAATAACGTAAGAGACATGTACAAAGGTATAAACAGATCACGTAAATATGTAGGGCCCGTAACGTCTGGAATTAGGGATGATAATAACAATATTCTGACCGATCCGGTTGACATATTGAATAAGTTTAAGGACCACTTGACAATATTTTAAATACGGGAAATTATGATCTGTGTCCTCCTTCTGAGTACCAGAGTGCTGAACCGTTAATAGAAGGACCAAGTAAAGAGGAAGTTGAAGTAGCTATCGGAAAATTAAAATCATATAAAGCAGCGGGAATCGATAATATTCCTACTGAACTAATTAAGGCATGCGGGGAAGCTGGAGTTTCTAAAATACATCGGTTGGTTAAAAAGATCTGGGTGAACGAGAAATTACCTCAAGAATGGAAAGAATCTATTCTTATTCCGATTCACAAAAAGGGTCCGAGGACGGATTGTAATAACTATCGAGGAATTTCACTCCTTCCGGTATGTTATAAAATATTCACTTCAATCTTAACCAGTCGAATTACGGAATACGCCGAGGAAATTATCGGAGACTACCAATGCGGATTTAGACGGAATCGTTCGACTATTGATCAAATATTTTCTTTACGGCAAATATTAGAGAAAAAATTGGAGTACAAAGGTATTGTTCACCAGCTGTATATAGATTTTAAAAAGGCTTACGATTCTATTGACCGCCAGAGACTGTATAATATTCTAATTGAGCAGGGGATTCCAAAAAAAACTAGTAAATCTAGTCAGGATGTGCTTGACGGAGACACTCAATAAAGTTAGAATCGGTAATAATTTGTCCGAAAAATTTGAGGTTCGTTCGGGCTTAAAACAGGGGGATTCACTTTCGCCTGTCCTGTTCAATTTGGCATTAGAACATGCCATTAGGGAGGTAATGCGAACCGAGAAAGGGTTGGATCTGGGCGGGACAACATCCGTGCTGGGCTATGCTGATGATCTGGTACTGTTAAGCGAAGACGTTGAAACTATAAAACTAAATACGACAACGTTAATGAAAGCCGGGAAAGAACTAGGACTCGAAATAAACGTGGATAAAACAAAATATATGGTTAGCTGCAAAAATGGCGATACTACTGGTGACATCGATATAGATGGTAATATGTTTGAACAGGTAGATAAGTTTAGGTATCTAGGTTCAACGATAACTAGAAAAAACGAAATTGAAGAAGAGATTAAAGTTAGACTGAAGGCGGGAAATGCTTGTTATTATTCTGTGACAAAACTACTTAGTTCGCGGCTCTTGTCCCGAAACTTAAAAATTAGAATCTATAAAACAATTATCTTGCCTACAGTTCTTTATGGATGCGAAACTTGGCCACTTACATTAAGGGATGAGCAGCGTCTTAAGGTTTTTGAAAATAAAGTATTGCGTAGAATATTCGGACCGAAGAAGGATGAGTTAACCGGAGAGTTCAGACGGCTACACAACGCCGAATTGCGTGAGCTGTATCCGGGTAATATAATTGATGTAATTTCATCGCGGCGAATCAAATGGGCTTGTAAAGTTGTTGGGCTTAGTAACGAGAGAATTCCTAAAAGGTTAATATTTGCTGTGCCGAATGGTAAGCGTCCGAGGGGTAGACCGAAGCGAAGGTGGGAAGATTGCATTAAAGCCGATCTGAAGGGACTGGGTTTGGACGGCGAACGGTGGAGGGAGGTGTGTAACAAGCGATTGGTGGTGTCGGCATCGAACCTTCGGGTTCGCTAAGCCTTATTATTATTATTATTATTATATTACGTTTACACATTAACCAAACCACGACGAGCAAGAGCGTTTAAAAGTGAGTGTACTTGTGCTTGACTCTAGCATGTTTTCTCTTGTTTGTGGCCAACTCATTAACGCAAAGGGACATCAAACTGAGCTTGCAGAAGGACACATAAGCGATATGGCTGCTCGATATTTCATATAAGATATTTGCGTTTCTGATACCATTTTGGTTTATTATTTTCAATAATGAACCATTGAAATCGAACAAAAAATTCAAAAATTTGACCCCTTCTCAAAATTTGAGGTTTTAAGTTTCAGGATTCGTAGAATTCGAAAAGGCAATAAAATATCCGCCATTCCCGCATTTTCTCCGAAACTATTGGACAGATTTTTTTTTTTTTAAATTTGGATTGAAAATCAGAGGTCATCCGAGGATG